AAGGCTTGGCCAAGGACTTCGCTATGACCAAGTTTTTTTCCAAGACCTAGAATTAAACCAGGAATTAGTTCTAGGCATAGGCCAATGATTTAGTGGCTTGGCCAAGGATTTGGCGGTGGCCAAGTCTTTGGCCAAGGCCTAGAATTAAACCAGGAAATAGTCCTAGGCGTAAGCCAATGATTTTGTGGCTTGGCCAAGGATTTGGCCGTGGCCAAGTCTTTGGCCAAGGCCTAGAATGAAAGCAGCAAATAGTCCTAGGCGTAAGCCAATGATTTTGTGGCTTGGCCAAGGATTTGGCCGTGGCCAAGTCTTTGGCCAAGGCTTAGACAGAATCATTGGCCTATGCCTAGGGTTTTTGTATAAGGACATCGGAATAGAGGACGATGTTCTGAGGAAATGCTAGTCTAGGTTTTTCATAAAATAAAAATGATTGATTAAAAAAATCAATAAAATATAATTGATTACACGAATTATCCGAGAATTTGGAAGGAAATGGTTTCGCACAAAGGACAATAGTTTTCACTGAACATAAATGGATGAAGCTCAATTTTTCGTATATTTCTATTCTCTTTTTCATGAATCCACACCATTTATAGTTAGGCTCGCTTCGCTGGCTAGCTACATTAAAGACATATTCCAAGTAGTCCATTAAGGATGGAAGGAAGGATTTATGTGAATAGCCAGCATCATCGAATTTTCCAACAAGTTTTTCCCAATCGGGAATAGAATCTCTCTATAGGCGTTCCAATGTGAACAACAACCACTAAGCCATTCGATGCCCTGTTTTTTGATTGAAGATTGCATTAATTACATTGTCCTTATTATGATTAAATATGAATAGGCAATGGTTTCTATTACATCACAACAGTATTCACTGATGATTAGTGCATCTTCCATAGTGCATAGTGCAGGAATGCAAGAACCCCAATTTTTCCCATATCTCTATTCTCTTTTTCATGAATCCACACCATTTATAGTTAAGCTCGCTTCGCTGGCTACATTAAACGAATATTCCAAGTAGTCCATTAAGGATGGAAGCTTATGTGAATAGCCAGCGTCATTCCAATTTTTCAACAAGTTTATCCCAACGAGGAAGAGAATCGCAGCATGGGTACTCCAAATATAGCAACAACCACTATGGTATTCGACCATCGTTTCAGAATTCGAGTTAATTATTAAGGATAATGTGGAGAGCAAGAACCGAGCATGTACCTTACATTTTCCAAATCTCCTACAAATCCGATTTTTTAGGTAAACCCTCAATGCAATCGAAGGAAACAGTACCTGTTTTAAGCGATATGAAAAATATCAAAACCAATTGCATAATATAAAAAAAAATTTGTCATAGGTCAGTTGTCGCTCTTTTGTCGCCATGGGCTTTCCATTTTCGCTATTTTGTCGCTCGATTTAAACGACCGATTAATTGTGCTTATCCTTTCGTCCGATAATGTTCCCTCACTGAACCATAGCCAAAAAATACCTTTTTAATGTGATTAACATATTTTACAACAGATTGATGATACCATTGTTACAAAAAGTTGTCTTTATTTTTGATTAATATTTTTTTATTTTTCATTTTCATTTCATTCCTTCATCATTACAAATTTGTTTCAAGTGCATATTTATATAATTGAATGCATATTTACAATGTAAACGATTATAATTGGTATGTTCATTTAAAATTTAAGTAGAAATTTTCATATTTAAAAATTTTGCTAAATTAAATTAGAAGAATATTGGCAAATGTAAATTACATCGTCGAAAAGGAAATCTATTAATCGAAAGGATACCTTTAGAATTTCAGCTCGAAAAATTTATTGGAACATGAAAAAAATGATGTGTCAGCGACTTATTTTTTAATAACATTAATCTTAAAGTCAATTTTTTTCCAAGGAAATGCACGAAATACACAATACACAATAATAATGGTTTTCATGTAAAATTATATAATTTTACGCTTTGGCTTGAGCTCGGACTTGCTCTTTTGCTTGGGTTTCGCCTGGGCCAGGTGTTGGGATCAAGCCAATGTTTAGACCGAGACTTAGGCGAAGGCCAACGTTTAATCTGAGGATTGCCCAAGGTTTCGGCTTTGGCCAAGGCTTAGGATTAATTCAAAGACTACTTCTTTCATAGGCCAAGCCCGAAGTCTTATTTCAAGGCATGGCCTAGGATTTGGCCATGGCCAAGGCCTAGAATTAAATCAGGAAATGGTCCTAGGCGTCAGCCAATGATTTTGTGTCTTGGCCAAGGATTTGGCAGTGGCCAAGTCTTTGGCCAAGGCTTAGACAGAATCATTGGCCTATGCCTAGGGTTTTTGTATAAGGACATCGGAATAGAGGACGATGGTCTGAGGAAATGTGAGTAAGGTTTTTCATAAAATAAAAATGATTGATTAAAAAAATCAATAAAATATAATTGATTACAGGAATTATCCGAGAAAGAATTTGGAAAGCAATGGTTTCGCACAAAGGACAATAGCTTTTTACGGAAGATTAGTACATTTAATGCTAATGGAAGAAGCCCAAATTATTCTGTCTTTTTAATATTTTAAAGAAACAAAGACCTCTTGTCTAATCTCTACATTACTTGCACCAGACGCCCTTTTTTTCACAGTCAGTATGTCAGTTCACTCTTCTCCGGAAATTTTTTGACGATGAGCTGAGAATGATTTTTTGCTCTTTTGATTGCTCGCATTTATGTGCAGGATGATAGATTGCGTACGATTTAGTCTCAAAGAATTCTCTACATCTTTAATCTTCGAGAATGCAGTTCATTTCATCCTTCATAAATCACCACCGAGCTAGTTATGATTGCTTTACGAAGAATGAGAAGTACTTTTCGATGTATAGAACTCGAAAAATTCAAATATATCGCTTGGTTAAAATATATATTTAACGCAATATTTCTGGCTAGTTCCACTGACTAGAATGAGGCCTTTTTGCAGGGAAGGTAACAGATATAGTAAAAAACAGCAAAACACAAATTTAATCAAGTAAAATGGTTATTACTTTATTCAGAATATATGAAAATGAAAATGAAAAATGATACAAATAAATGATAACAAGACAATTCAAAAATATTTTGTTAGGAAAATGTGGAATAAATTAAACAGTAACTATAGGCTACCCATAAAATATACAAAATACATAGGTACAACTGGATTTTCTACAATAAAAAGCCATTCCTATCGCGGATTTAAAAATGTTTTTCTTCACGAACCTTAACAGGGAATTTTTATTTTAACCTTTCCAAAATCGATAAACAACGTTCACAAGCACTTAGTTTACTGACTACCATATGGATTCAAATGCGATTCAGGAAGTAGCAAAGTAGCAAAACTAAAGGTTTTGCTTAACTGGTCAGATTTTACATTAAAACAATCAAGTGAAAAAAATCAAATGAAAAAGGCCTTTGCAATTGATTAAAGCAGTTATGACTTATGAAAATAAATGATATGTAAAAAGATTACTAAATCTTGCTGTATCGTCCAAGAAAACGTCGACAAGACGGACAAAAATGATGAACATCAAGACAACTGTCGATACAAAAAACGAAATAACAAAGACACCATGGTATTAAAAGAAAAAATCCAAGCAAAAAGCATAAACCGACAATAATCCACGGTAAAATACCAGCGATGTGTTGTGTTGCTGTGACGATATGTGCCTAAAAATTACATAAATTTTAATAAAATTTTAATATTTCGATGAAATATAATAATGAAATTACATAAATATTTCAACGAAATAAATAATTTCTGTAACCTGAAAAAACAAAAAAAATTCACCTGACAGTAAGGACAATCCATTTCGATTGGATTTGGTCCAAAGACTGGTGTTGTCACACGAATAAAATCTGGAACAGTCGATGCGGGCTGCGATGCAGAATTCGACATGGCTGGTTGCATTAGAGGAGAAATAAAATTTGAAGCAGGGGATAATCCATTCATGCATCCGTTAACCGTATTTGTCACATGCAAATTGGAAAAATCACTACCAGCATCACCAGATTCTTTAATGGCATCGCTATACGATGGCGGCGGACCATCCATTGCTATCCACTATCCACTAACCTTAAAACTCCAGTAACTTCATTAAAATATGACCAAATAATCCCGCACTAAAACACCCCATCCACTTTTGTCAAGTTAAATATATCAGTGATAATGTGCTGATCTGCATATGGTTATTATGGTGGTTGACATGGCCGCTTGAGAATGACTCCAATTCAAGTTTGGCCAATACACCATGTCCGGCTGGGCAAGAGTGGTAAAGCAATTCTGATCCAATAACTCAATTCATTCTAATTTCAACCAAAAGTGATCTGCATTGTCGTAATAAGATTAATTTACTGCTTTCTTGCATTTACTGCTACTACTGATTAGAATGGATCAGTAGTAACTATAGTAGTACAATTATATACCGGTAGGCAAACCTCTCGACACAATGTCTAGCTTATTACCACTCGTATTTCAAATAGATTCATTTCCAATCAATAGAAATCAAACTTTTGCTCCTAGTGGAAACAACATATAGCTCTAAGGCTCTGGTTCCCTCATCAATAAATCCTATATTGTTTATAAGCGAAAAAATCAAGTGAGAGATTCTTTTTCATTTAGAAAAATTGGGTTTTTACAACCATTCTGCACAGAAAACAATTTTAATAAATTCTTTTATGAAAAATAACAAGAACTGATCGAACCAATTACATACATTAATAAATGAAATATTTAATGAACAAAGTATAAATAAATTTTTCCCGAAATTATTATTATTACAAATTTTGAGCTTTAATTTAGAAATTTTTTTCCTCAAAGACTCCCAGCAATTCGTCAAAGATCGCATTTGGTGTAACATTGCATTTGGGTGTTATAATAACAGTTTAACTAAAAAAATAAACAAATAATTAATCAGTGCAACAACTTTCCAACGCTTAGTATGTTATAAAGCACGATCCGTTCAAATAATCCAAAAACAAATCTGATTTGAAAATAAAACTAAGTCAACACCACATCTAATTTATTTCTTAGCCTGACGTCTTTTGCGCTTTAAACGACGCATACGCTTCTTTCGCCACTGAAATTTGATATATGGAATAATTTCCAAATAAATTGCCAACATATTTTTTTAGAACATCATGGTGAAAAAATACGATTAAAAAATTTATCTTTGCCAATTCAAAAATTTAAATTCAAAGAAATATGATAAAAATGATTAACCTTAGCACGCATTTTCACCAATTACTAATAACCAACAACTACTCGACGACTCGTAAATAAGCAGTAAACAATAATTTTAATGAAAACACCGAGTAATTCCTGGAATTTGAATTATAAAGCAAGAATTCCCTTAAAAAAAATAAACGCGAAATACGGTATAACGCGAAAATGATTAAACATCGCACCAAGTAATATTAAACATAAAATTAAATAAAATTTTTAAATAACCAAATATTTTTTTTTGTCCAGTAGCGCTCAGCACTCACTTTGCCAGGACCAAATAAATTTTGCAGTCATTTAGCGAAGTATAAACCATTCACCGGTACCAGCCCTATTTTTGAAAGGTATGTTTATTTCCTCTGGGAATACTGGCTGCTTCTAGTATTGGCGCTCTAAAATGACAGCAGCACACTGGCCATCCATCCTACCAAAGAATTATCAAAAATTACTAATTCAAATATTGTCGAGTACCAAAGATAAAAGAAACACTCGCTATAATCTTAGAAGTTTCTCAGAGAAAAGGCAAAGATGGACAAAGAATTATCCTAAAGCTATCTATTCTTTTTTGACGCTGAAAATAGCTATTTAATCAAAAATTTAGTCACCAGTTATCAAATTTATCAAACTTCTAGTTATTTTTATCGATATATTATATAATCTACACATATCTATATATAAATTGCTAAAACCTCGCAGATATATTTTCCGTTTTCTTAGCCACGCTGAATTTTATAAAAAGTTAGAATTTTATAAAAAACTTTTATAAAAAGGCTCGTCGACATTGTGAATTATTCCAAGCAAAAATGACTCCCTCACTAATTATTTTCATTCTGATTAGAACACCACCAATACGAGTGGTACCATAGTCACTGCAATATTTTTAATCAGTTTCTAGCGTGCGGTTCAAATTTTAAATGTAACAATGAATACGATGCAAATGCAAAAAAAATGTCAAAGAATAGAATTATTCGAATATAAGATTTAGCCACAAAACTTTTGGCGCATTCCAAATTCCAAAATTCCTTTCTTACATAAATATGGTTTTTATGGTTTTTGAAAATTTTAATTAATTTAAAAAAATCAAGAAATATATTTGAAGTTCGAAGCACTGCGCTAAAAACTAGTATATACCACGACTAAAAGTTAGGTCAACATGACTCGAATCACCGAAGAATCCCCACAGGACAAAAACCTGCCGACTCGGCTGTCCCCATTGCATTAATTATGTCCTATGGTTGGAATTCAAATCATTGTAAGATTCGTCCACTAATAAATAAAGATTCGTAGCTGCATTCCTAAAGCTCGGCGCTGGGAATGCATCTTGATTAGAACGAAAGCAAAAACCATCAGCGAGGTGGATGTCAGAAAGGTTGAAGAGGTAGCATTTGCTGGAAAAAAACATCACGGAAATTTTAACGTAAATATTTTTTGAGAAGACTAAAAGTTGGATAAGTTTACAAAGTAAAATGGAAAAGAATATGCAAAGTTGATAAATCTGGGGTACTATGATGTTTCAACAAATCAATAAATCCACAATAATGCTTCGATTCTTCTTCTTCTAACAGCTCTCACTATTACTGGTTTAAATAAGGCTGGCTCCAACGGCTACATGGGCAAGACACCTCCAAGCTGCTGGGTATGATTCCATCGTTGATAGTATTTGAAGTCATTTCTTTTTCTATCGTCTAAGTCCATATATTGCTGGTTCGCCTATACGTTCAAAATCTTTTCTGACCGTATCAACTCAGGGGCCACCTCGCTTTTGACGCCATCCATCACACGGTTTAACAAGTGAAAATATGCTCTTCTGATAGACGACGTGCCTTAACCAACGAAGACGACGCTTTGTGATAATGTTACTAATGCAAATGGTATTTGAACGAAGGTAGATGCGATCTTGTGATTTTATCCGCTCGATGAATCCGTATTATGTACCTTAGATGTACAAGAGTGGTCAAAGGCAGATAACTTCTTAATATCCTCCACTCTCATTGTCCACGTCTCAGAACCATATAGCAGGATCGAACGGATAATAGCTATATAGATACGGACTTTTGTTATTATGGTGATTTCAGACTCCATAAAGATCTCGCCAACCAGAAGAATTTCTAACTGCCTTGATCCGAGTTATAATATCATCTTTTGCCTGACCAATTGGTAATAGAGTGGACCCAAAGTATTTAAAATCGAGTATTTTCTCAATCGGCAATGAATTTATAAAAAAAGGTTCATCAGCACCTTGCACATAAGACGAAAAGATTTTCGCTTTATTTACATTGACCCTGAATTCGATTCTTGTTGCTGTTGCTGACGCTATTTAACATTACTTGCATTTCGTCAGAACTGTCAGCAAAAAGGACTTCATCATGAGCGTATTTAAGATCTGTGATACGATATCTATGATATTTGTGAAGCTCTGGACGAATTTGCATTTCATATCTTCATTGGGTTTAATTAATCTAAATTCAAATTTGATGTTTGACGTGCGATTTCATAGGTCATAGGTCAAGACTCTATTCTATAATATGCTATATATGCTATTCTATAATATGCATAACTATTTCACCATAGTTAGGCATTTGTGTGGCTCATTTTTTGTATATTTACAGCATCCAATAAAAATTTCCCCATCAACTAGTTACCGTCTCTTTCATTGCTTTCATTACTCTTTGCTTCATTACTATGGTATTTTGTTTCTTTAAATGCTTATTGTTACGAAGAAATCAAAATTCCACACTGAACCAATGGCTCATTTTTCTTTTAGCAGCGCAACCACCTTGATTTAACTTGTTTTACTGATTATTCATTTCGTTCTAATAACCAGAAGCATCGATATCCTTGATTTAACTGATTATTTCTGAATATTATAAATTGATTTGAATAATCCTGAAATCTGCATAAAACTGAAGCGAAAAAATTATTTCTAAATTTTAATGCTAAAAGAACAGGATTTTAAAAGGCTGAAAAAGCAGTCGATCACAACAGATTTTATTTTTTGCGAAGAGATCAAATTCAATAAACTGGTAAGGCAAATGGATGCAAGAAAGAATTTAAGCCGATATGAGATACATAAAATTATGGATAAATAAAATTTAAGCTTATTTAAAAAATAAGGACAAGGACAAAAAGAAATAAGAAAAGTTCTGCATTTCCTGACATCTGTCGAAACGAAAAACAACATAAAATTTTCCTAAAATTTATTTCCCTTTGGAAAAGAATACTTAAATCTTGAGATTATAATCTATAACTTAATTTGGCTGTTTTATAACTGTAACAATTGCAATCAGAGAGACTATAAATAAATAAATCAATTATTACAGTCAGTTATCTTTATTATCGAAAGCCAAAAATAAAGATTATTTATACCATGAGAAATCTATGAATTGTTTGAGAAAAAATCTTTCTTCACGAAAATAGCAATTTCTCATGGTAAAAATTAATTTATAAAATAGATCTGAGCAAACTTTATTGAACAAATTTCAAATTTTGTCTTCCGCAATCGCATATTTTTGTGGCACATAACAACTCGGTGTATTTAATCGCATATTACTGGCGCAATAAGAATGATCGAAAGGAATTGGACTATTTGTTGTTGTAGTTGATGCAATTGTCGGTATACTTACCATCGGTGATGTCTGAAAAAAAAAAATTTATTCTTCATAAAACAATCAGAAAGATGAATTACCAAAAAAGTGTTAATCCATCATTAAAGCCTATCTGGATATATCTAAAAATTTTGAAAACTTGGAAAAAAATTTTACATAATACGATCCGTTTGTACTAGCATCATCTGAGTCTAGACCGCATGAACTAAAAATTCTACAAAATTCACTACGTTCGCCACGTTCTGTTTCATAAAACGAATAAACGATTGAACCAATAAGAATCGTAAAAAATGAAAGAAAATATAGAGCTTGAAACTGAAATTTAATGTGGTTAACTTAAAAAACCAAAGAAAAAAAATAAAAAATCTCCTTTTTCTATCTTTAAAATAGAAAAATAATTTTCATTAATTTTTCATAAACCTTGCAAACCTTATAATTGAAGACAAATAAGCCAAACATTAATGTATAGAAATCAGCAGTTTGAATGGATAAATTGAACATAAGTGCTGACGATTTCTGCATTACAATAGTAACCAGTGAATAAAAGATGAACATGCAAAAAGCAAATAACAAATAAATGGCGATTATTTTAGAAGACCATCGTACATTTGCCAATTCTCGATGCTCTGTTATCGCTCTGAAATTTCCAAAAACTATTGTGATTAAAATAAAACTTAACTAGCAAAACAAACGAAGCAATCAGGCTTAGGCTTTCTCCCCAAAAAATAGAAGAACCCATTTTTCTATTTTTGTTAATTTATAAAAAAAAGAGAACTGTTATAAAGTTGTTATAAAATAGAATTTTACAACCAAATCCATTATAAATAATTAATTTTCGATATGAAAATTCTTACAGCTGAATTCCTGATATAATTGAACTGAACAGACTGACCATTCCGAGATATTCTATTCTATTGTTTTGTTTAACGAGATATTCTTCGCAGACATTTCCTATCGCATATAAAATAGATCCGATTATACATAGAATATCACCCAAAAGTCTATTTGAGCCTGAAAACTTGAAGAAAAAAAATTCTACCAAAAAAAATATGAAAAAATTTCAAAAAAAATACAATAAGCTTCCAATTAATTGTTCAAAACTTTCGTCCGAGATTTTAAAATTGCAAGAAATATAATTTTTTCATCGCTTTTTCAAACCATCTTCTTTGAACAATTTATAAGGCATATTCAAAAACCCGGTGGAACATTTTGCAAAATAATCCGCGAAATCACAGAAACTATATCTCACCTCCAGAAAGACCCTTTCCTTCAAGCACATCTGCCCAAATTAACATTGCAATTCCAATTAAACATACCATTACACCAATAATATGAGTAACCAAATATCTGGCCGAAAGAAACAAACAAGAAAGCAATAAAACTGTCGGAATGGTCGCACAATCCAATAACTATAAATAAAATTATATTCTGCATTTTTTATCCATTGAAACCACCAAAAAGAATTGAATTCAGACACCAGTATCTTATCAGTTATTTTTATCAATTCTGTGACTAAAAAAATATCTAAACGTTCCAAAATTCACAAATCATGCTAAACTAAAAATAAAAATAATAAAAATAAAAATAAAAAAAAATTAACAAAACAAATAAAATTCAATTAACCTGGATACTAGTCAAATTCGTAAACTGATAAGCGTAAACAATAATATAATTGGCTTGAACATCCAAAAAAGACAAAATGAAATATTTCCATCCTCGCTTTAGAAAAATTGAAAAAAATGTTTCCCCGTCTTTTCTACATATCAATAAGGTACTATAAACACAAGATAAGAAGAAGTAACTCAAGAAACTTTGCGCTGAAAAATTATAAAAATTAAAATTAAAAAATTAAATTAAAAAATTAAAAAATATTATTGTTGCAATGGTATTATGACAAATTTTGTAAATGGAATAATCTTTTGGACAATTAGAAAAAGCATTTTCTTAGATTTTTACGAAATTTACACACAAAAAAAAGCAAAGGAAAATTGACAAATTAACTATATTTGCAGACATTTCAGAGAAAAAATTAAAGAATGATTTCAATGATCATTTTATCATAAAAATATTGAAAATAGAAACGTGTCAAAGACAAATTGCTTGTTTATGAACTCTTTATAATACAATAACTCACCAGCTGGTGTTCGAATATCTTGTTTTTGAAGTATTTCACTAGCTACACCAGTTCCACAAAGACAAATCGATAAAACCTGGCCAAGGCAGATTATTTGGAATGTTCGCCTGAAAATTTAACATAAATATAACCATTAAATTTTGAAATGGCATAATAACAAACAAAATTATTAAGTTGCAAGGCTAAAATGTCAATTATATTCAGTAATATTTATGAATGAAAAATATTAATGAAAAATAATTTCAGTCAACAAGCAACATTTGGTTGATTTCACTAACCATTATGAGATTCCTTCACTACAGATCCGCTTAAGATTAAGAAGTGCGAGGCGGTTCTAAGCATCGTCCATGCATACTACTTTTAACGATATATTGGACTCGGTAATGTAGATAAAGAACTTTAATATGGAAAAGAAAGAGGAAAAAAATTCGAGAAAGTACTGAACTGAAAAATGAACCATAGAACTACCTGATATTACCATTATTACAGCATGGTGAGCAATCGATTCCATCATCATCAGGTGATGCATACTGTTGCATCGTTGGTCCCACATTGGTCGAAACTCCAGCATTTGGTGACGAAGTTACGATGACTTGAGGTATATAATTTGGAGCCACTATTACACCATTGTCCGTTGTCGCCACTTCTTGTTTCAAATTATTATGAGTCGCCAACATTGCATAATAATTCCTAAAAATCAAAGCTGATTATTATTCTATATAAAAACATTGGATAAGTCATATTGTCCCAGCCGAGACCGAACAGGTACGATTCCTATCGTTTGATGAAAGTAAAAATTTCATATGAGTTGGAGTATGAGTGGCTCTTTGAAACATACCTATAGTTCTATTCTCAGGTGACTTTCTTGCCAAAATACCTTATTCTATTAATCAGTGCAATTACAAAAATGCGGCGGAATTGTAAGAAATACCACTGATTATTGGAACTTGAACTTAAATCGTCAATAAATCGTCAATCGTCACATTACTAAATCGATGGCAATCAAAACACTTCATATAGCGATTTTCTTTCTTCTGGCGAAATTCTAAATGGAAGGCATTAAAGGCTCGATTCCTAATTCATATTATATTATTAGACGGCAATAAGCCTAACACTAAAAGTGAAAAATGGTAGCATAAGGTGAATTAATGCACCAAATGACTCATTCTGAGAGCAAATAATGCAGCCAGCAAAACCAGAAATGGTGAATGAAATTCTAAGAAGAATTCATTCCAAACATAGAACGATTCTCGAAAATTACTATCACTACAGTGAAAGATCTTTTACAACTTTTACAAAGATCTTTTACAAAGATCGTACAACTTTGTTTGCTTAAAAAAAAAACTCTCTTTAACGGTGCCAAATAAGAAGTCGCCGCAATAAATAAATATAGGTGAAAATATTTCTATACAAAATGCCAAATGTTAAAGGTCACAAGGCATTTTCAAGAAAAAAAAAATATGATAAACAAGAATAGCTAATTAAATAAGACGACTAGGAACTAGGATTATTTCTGGATAGGATCACCTCGTTGCTTGTTATTAGAATGAGTCATTTTCGCGAGAGAACAGGACAATAGCGCAAATACTCCCAAAATCCAGATTCTCTAACGATAGGTCTGTTTTATAGCGGTTGCGTGAGCTGTATTTAATGAAGAGGAATAGTCGTAGGTCATAGATAAATGAAAAAAAATAAGCGAAAAGAAGGAAAGCAACACAAAGCTAGTGCGAGACATTCGACCTTGTTTGAAGAAACAGTAATACAGTAAAGTAAGTTCCATGAAAAATCAGCCAATAATGTTGAAAGTTCATTCACGACGGTGCGACCACAGTTGCCAGCATTCTGAGATCCAATGCGACCCGCAAGCTTCTGACGTGCGAAATATTCCGCCGTACTAATAAAGTGAACACTTGATATTAGTCGGTTATCACAGATACTCTATCGAATTATTTCTCAAAAAGCACAGAAATATTGTTAGTCGAGTTGTATATATAAAATATTGTTGGCCAAATAACCGACAAGAATGCCTAATCGCAAAATGAAAAAATGTAAAAGAAACCGATGTTTTGAACAGTTCGCTCCAATGATTGGTTGACGTTCCTCTCCCCGCTGTTGGTCGACGTTATCGCCGATGATCAACGGCCTGGCTGATAACCAACGATTATCCTTGGTACGGTTTTTGGTGTGGAAATTTTCACGATATCGAACTGAAAATTTGTTGAAAAGTTCGCTACAGCGAACCGCAGTGATATTTTTTTGAAAATCATTTATATTGGTTAGTCGGAAGATAGGCCAAGCCAAGGGATTAGAGTTGGCATATGAATTGAAATTTCAACGAAATGATCAGATTTGTGCTATGAGCGAATCAAAATAGATGCCTAAAGGTTATAATGGACCATCTAAAAATGGTTAATGCAGGATGGCCATAATTCTAAAGCCTTAAAAAATAGTGTTCTTTTTTTTAAGAGAAATTTGCTCTTAACAGACAGTGAATTAAATATGAACTGAGGCCAACAGCCAAAGATTCGAGAGAATGGTCGAGTAGTATATAAATTCGATTGAATCCCAACTATCATAGTTTTATTTGTTAATCTTTAAAGGGCATAAACTTGCCAAATTACTGGCAGTGGCATTTTTTTCTTTCTTATCACTAGATGGCATCTTGTTTGTGATAAAAATCACAAAAATGGTGAATTTTGTCGAGAAAAGAAGAAAAAAAAGGGTCAATTTTAACTTATTAAAACTCTATTTGTCAAAATAATTATTCTTTTTTTAAAAGCCCTCGAGCCCCAGCATTGGGCCCTCAGAATTGAGCAACAATCCACTAAGTCATTTCTGTCCACAAGACAATTATATTAAACAACAAACAACAACGGGCCAAATAATTTATGTGCAGCGATACGAAAATTTGTAGGGATTTATTTTTTAATTCTGTCAAATAATCACCAAATATTGAATAGAAATCATCAAATACTTAAGCCATGGTGAGCTATGATTTCCAAGGTTTCAACAAAAATCTAATAATGATGAAATGAACGGAAAAAGAACCCTTCAAATCTCCCAAATCCTTCCTTATATCCCTAATAATTTCCTCAAAAACTTGTCTTGCTTCCTTAATATCCAACTAAACTCCTTAAAATCAATCCTCTCTGCACTCTTTTGCTAAAAACATCGTAATGCTGCATCCGAATTTGGCCAATACCCAAAGGCCTAATTACATAAGCATCCATTTTTGAGCTTTATTGATAAGTTCCTCGTAATCAGTTCAAAAAATAGAGAAATGAAATGAATTATTGAAATGTATTGATAAACGAAAAATCAGTAACCGAATTAACCGAAAATTTCTCGAAAAAACTCATAATTACTTTCAAAATCACTAAAACTAATAACAATATTCCCGATTAATTGCAATAAACATTTCGAAATCAATATGACTGAATGATATCTTGATTAGATTAGCATTCCAAGCATTATAATTCAGCTGTTCCACCTGATAGAGGTAAACATACTAATAAAAAATCCAAGTGGATATCATTTGTTTTTATCTATCTCTCCAAGTGATTTTTAAATTTCTCAGTCCAGTAACGAATAAGCGCACCTAATTAAGAATGGTAAGTAGCATGCACAGATTAATTAACTAAAAACTAAAATTGCAACTGGCTAAACTCGCTTGGCTGGTTTTTGTTAGACAAAAGAAATCCTTGACGATAGAAATACATGCCGCCCGACATAGTCTGGATTCAAAGCCAAGCCTCTGTTCTCAACTATTAGTTATCATATCACTGGCACTGAAGCACTAAAAATTGAGAATGGATATTTTATGCTTTTAAGCCCAATTACAAGAAATTTTTCCTTAATCTCAGTTTACGATAATTCCTTATGATAAGATTTATGATAATAATCTTCTACGACAAGATTTTATAGAATAATATTAATAACAAAAAATTACTGTCGAGAAAAATAAAAAAGATTCATATAAAATAAATAAAGGTTGAAAAATATTGAATTACACTTCGATCATGAATTATATAATTATTTCCATGAAAATATCAATAAATGTGAATATTTCTGAATGAATATTTTTGATTTCTGAATGAATATTTTTGAAAAAATTATAAAAATGTTAGACTAATAAATTTCTTTTCAAATCATAAAATGAAATGCAATTGAATACATAAATTATCAATTGCAAATCAACCATATGGCGATCGTTAGACGACTATTAAGTGATTCAAAATTAAGCTTAAGATTAATTACTTTGGACAAAGACAAATGGCACGCAACACACAGGAACATATGAAAAATTTGTTTTCTTACTTGCCTAATGAATGATCGAATTTCGTGGATTTGTTAACTCTTCGATCATAATTATGATGAAAAAAAAAACTTTTTTTATATTACAATACTACATATTTGATAAAAAAATTCGCTAAAAAAATTTACAACCACTTTTTTCCAATCTAATCAAATCAATCATACAATTTAGCTTGAATATTTTCTTTAAGCTGGTATTCACATTTGAAAACGATGTTAATGACGATGAGCCAGGTGATGAAATGAGGAAGAATGCTTCAACTAAATAGCACAAAACTTCAATTGTGTTTTGAAGTGAAATTTGAAGAATAATTTGTCTTTTCTATCGTTAAACGATCCGCTAGCGAAAAATTTTCAATAAATAGACTACCAATCAAATGCATCAAATCAGGAATGGTGGGCACTGTTAAAAGAAGAATAGACTAACTGAAGATTAATTTTGATTTAATCTGCATTATCATTTAATGATTAAATATCATAATTGCTTTAAAATCCGATAATAAGGTATACATTACAATCGCTTACAGTGCGTATTCATCATTCTTGTTAATGGTGCAGTGAATCGAATTGCAGATGATTTCCTATCACTTTAGAAGAAGACTTTAGTCAAAGTTGACATTCAATCCTGCAAAAAATTCTTTTAAATAAATTTTTTCTAATTTTTCTATTCTCTTAATTCATTGAAACGCCTAGAAATGGAAAAAAGAATGAAGAGAAATGTGGAAATGAGCTGAAAATAAATAAAATAGCTTGAGTGATTCTCGTTCCTCCAAAGCCTAAAATTCTATTCATTCACCATAATTTCGATAATATTCATTTTTATTACAATATTCATAATAATATTCATTAATATTTAATATTAATATTCATATTTTAATATTCATTTTTGGAAAAAAAAGATTTTTTTGCTGTAAAATTTAAAATTTGTTTATTCAATTTTAAGAGATTTTATTGATAAATAAAATTTTAACAATTTTAACATTAACTATAAAATTGAATTAAAATTCATCAAAATGAAATGGGTGATTTGTGATTTAAAATTAACCAAATCTTTCCTTCTCCATTAATATGAAAAAAGAGATTACTCGCTATTTGATTAAAATATTTCTAAAAAAAAAGAGAATTTTAAAATCGAAAAGAAATATCGACTGCAATAAAGGATTAACTAATCCTAAATACTCTTCGCTTATCGCCGAAAAAAAAGGGACGGTAGGGAAAAAAATTGAATTTGATTATAACAACCTAAAAATAAATCGCTTGAATCGCTTAAATTATTCGCTATTCGACAAATTTATGACTAATAAATTGAAATATTTTTTTAAAAAATTTTTCATTCAATGATTGAATAAAATTAATTTTAACAGATATTAATTTTTAATGGAAAATTACAATTACTTGAATTCCATTTTAATCGAATTTAAACCATTAGCCATCGCCATCGCGAATTAAGAAAATGACTCGAAATAGAGCTTCGTCAAGTGGCACTAATCGCCGAAAATAAAAATAGATAGAATGGTTCTGCGGGGTAGTTTAAGGAGCTATTGCGGAGGTTCAATGCCTTACAAACTTAAATTTATTCTCCAAATTGCATGTGATTCTGATGGCTCACATACACTTACTTTTACAGCCAAATGAATCCTTCACAACATTTCTCTGGTCGAATAAGTCAGTGGAGCGGGTAGAGTTATTAGAAAAAAAGTACTAAGCCTTGAATTTGAGTCATATTTCAGTATAATGGAATGATTCTCGCAATAATTCTCAGTCTTATTTGTTATTGGCCTTCAGCATAACCATGAAACTACCGTTTGATATTATTGATTAGATCGTTATCATTCATGCTTTAACTATATTTGATAATATTGTATATGCCACAATTACACAATAAAGATATATTTAATTTAATTTAATTTGCGATTTTTTATTTTCCATAGTTCAAGCAATACTACTGGCTATAATTCATATAATAACCAATTTCTGCGAATAAACCTAATTTAATTTATTGATTCATAAGTAGTCACGATTTTGCTTGACCGATTTAGCTCAGTAAATTTATCAGTCATTTGAAAAATAGGACCGCCAAAGCTATTCGTTAATAACAGGTTTAGTGCTAATCCGATCGATCATATTGCCTAATTATTTCATTTCAACAAAACTGCTTTTCAAAAAAAACTAGGAGATATTTGATCACTTTTTAAATATTCAGTTAAGCCAAAAGATAATGAATGGCTTTTTTTCTCGAATGAAATTATTAGTGTAAATTTTTTGTTGAAAGGTTGAAAAACAAAGAAATTTTCTTAAAGAATTTTTAGAAAAAAAATTATCGAATTTTCTCCGTTATTTTTTACGTTTTAGAAAAAAAGTATATTTAAAATAAAATAATAAAATTACTAAGTAATAAAATTATTTTTATTCTTCTATTGAGTTAATTAAATTTTAAGGAAAATAAATAAAAATATAGTAAAATTTGATCAAATTTTTAGAAATAATAAATATTTATCTTTATTTTATTATATCGATAATAAATAACAATAAATGAAAAGAATTTTTAATAGAAGAGAAAAGTTTAAAAGAATCTTGAAAATATTTAAGAGATATTAAAATAATAAGCAAATGTTCAATATTTCGACTTGAATTAACGATCGGCGCGAATAATCCTTTAGCCAAGCCAAATCAATTCCTCAAATCTTTTCATATTTTCTTATTTAAGCGCTTAAATTAACTATACGAGTGGCCATTAAATATACCGCTATGGGCGCCATGGAGTGTAAGGCAGCTTCCAGAGGACTCTCAAAAGGACCTTCATGATTCATATATTCTTATTTTGTTTGAAAAATAATAAATTATCTTAAATGAATATTTAAAGCAATTTACTTTCAGTTCATTCAAAATTCTTGAATGGAAAAACTTAATAAATATTTTTTAAAATTGAAAATGTTGTATTGGTGGCGCATAGATTTTCAAAATAATATCTAGAGGGCCAGAGGAAAAAATTTTAACAGTTGCGCTGATATATATGTTTGGTGCATTTTTATCGTTTTACCTAAAAACGAAACAAGTTTTCACAACATTCTTTCTTTATTACTATTCCATTCCCCTCCCCGTTCAAATTGCTCTTTCATCGAGAAAAAGAAACGAGAATTCCTGGGAAGGTCTGAGAAAAGGTACTACGTTATGTGAATCTCCTAGTAGGAGAATGGCGTAATACGCTGCAAGGTTCGTACTAGAAAAACGGCACACTTCATATGTGATGAACGCATGAGGGTTTCACTAGTATCCATAGATGTGGACTTTTGTCTTGCTGTTGTCATTTCCACCCTCATTTTCAACTACCGTATATCGACAAAAATAGCAACAAAAATTGTATCTGCGCTGTTGATTAAATATTTCTATTTCGCAGATCATTTGTTTTTTCAATGAAAAAGTTATGCAGCGAGGTTTTGAAGCTTTGGGGGATCTTGGGAGGATAAGGGAGGGAGGGGAGGGTGGGGGGGGGGGGGGGGGAAGGGAAAGTTTCTTGTTTTATGTTTATTTATAATTGGAAAAAAAAGATTTTTTTGTTGTAAAATTTAAAATTTGTTTATTCAATTTTAAGGGATTTTATTGATAAATAAAATTTTAATTTTTCTTTATCATTTTTTTCTTTTAGCTTTCAGAATGACTTCTTCACTACCATCGTTATTCGTAAATATTACTAAACGAGCATTTATAAATAATCAGAGACGAGTAAGTTGAAAATTTTTCATAAAACTGTTGAGAATAAAGAAAAATGGAAGGATTCGAGAACCGAATTCAGTCTGCAGCATAGCACTCTTTATTGCTTCGCTAGGAAATAATCCCAGAAGTCTCGTAATAATAATTCTCTGAACGAGCAAAATTAGAAGTAATTCGTGAGATTCAGTGAAAAAGAAGACAATAATTAATATGAATACATTATTTATGAAATAATTTTAGTAGAAAATAATAAATAATAATAAAATAATAATTTTAGGCAAATGGTATTATCATATCAGTTAAGATAAGATGAAATAAGATTGGATAAGATTATTTATTTCATAATTTATGTAAGTAACCAAATAAGGTTTGTAGAGAAAAAAGATATATAGCATTACGAAATTTTCATTGGGAGCACGGCAATTCCAGTACTCTACCTTTACAGAAATTCCTTTTGGGAATCCGTTCCAATTTATTTTTTCTATATATGTTTGGGTTTTCTGCCACGCGGGACTTTTATTTCTTTATAATATTATAAAACTCTGCATTCAGCGTTCTTTTCTTCCTTATCTCGTTGCGAAGCCTCAAACTTGAGTAATTAAACCTTTATTAGTGGTAATGCAAAATATATACAAAAAAAGCAAAGTGAAACAATTGTCCTACTACAAAGAAATAATAGTAAATAAAATGAAACAAAATATAAATGCCCATCCAGCTCACTCATCGCTCCCCACTCATTTCCCTAATAGAAGCATTAAATGACCAAAAATATTAATTCTTTTGCTGGGCATAGCAGGTACGATCCGGATGATTTGCTCATATTTGCTGCTTTTTTCGCCATTCTGCGACAAAAGTTACTTAATTGAATTCGAGCAGAAATTTTTGAGCAATATATCACAAATTTTTAAATTTTAAATTTATCATAAAGTTTTTATATAATTTATAGAATACTTGGATCTTGAGGCATGTAATTCCTCCACCAAGCACTCCAACAGGTAGTCATCAAAGGCGACCTGATGAGTTACAAGATTTTATGAAATACGAGGTGGTAGATTATGAAAATAAGTATCCAGCTGGGCCACTGAAAGTTATTCTACTTGAAGATGTTGAAGGTCTATTTTTATTGTTTGTTTTATCCCTTTATACTTTTTTATCATTTTTATCTTTTATCTATTAGCTGAGTTGTTTTTTAAAGAGCCCTCACCGTTACTGATTAGACTTACTCCGCTGACCTATCGCACTAGGTAAATATGCCAAAGGAGTCACTTGGCGACAAAAGTACAGGTGAGTCGTTATCACTGTGATTTTTGGACAGGTTTACTGAGAGCAGAACCTCAGCATTGGCGCTTCGAATTGAGCAGCAACCCACTGAACCATCCTATCTTCCATCTAAGTTATTTTTAATAAACTCTGATCAATATTGCTTTTTTTTCGTCAATTTTTCTGATAATTTAACGGAGGATTTTTCATTTTAACAATGGTTATTTTTTTTCCAACATTTATTCGCTTATGCTTATTTATAACTCTAAATTTTAATCATTTGCTTTTTCTTATCTTTTACAAAAATCAGATTTTAGGAATTGGTAATCAATTTGATGTAGTTGAAGTTAATCGAAAATTAGCCAGGCTTGATTTATTATTAACTCGAAAAGCGACATACGCTTCGCCTTTTGATTTGGAATATTATGGCAAATTAAGAGAGGTATTTTTTTTTATATTATTTCAAATAAAATCTAATTAATCGATATATTACTGCCTAAATTTTGCCTTATTAATTATTAATTGTTAAAAATTTTCGTTCTACCTTCATGGAATTTATCCACTTCATTCTTTTTTTTTTTTTTTTTTTAAATTGGTTTGCTGTATATTGGATTTAGTTGAGAGGAAGGGAATGTATTTTTCACCTTGGTACTTTCGTAGCTTTGACCGAAAAAGTACATTAAAATTCTGGTTTTTTTTCAAATTCGTATATATTTGATTTATATATTGATTTATATATTGTATATTTTTTCAAATTCGTATAGTATATTCGTATATACTAATTATTTCAGTTGATTATCTTTCAGCAAATGAAAGATGAACTAGAAAAGCGCGTTCGAATTCCTTATGAATATATTGTAATTGGTAAAGAATTAATGAGTAAAGTTATAGCTCTACGCGTTTCTATCGACCAGCCGTGGACCTTAGATCGAGATATTACCAAATTATCACTATTACTTGCAGTAAGAAATTGTTATTTTACTAAAATCTGGAAAAAATAGCCTTCAGTGCATGTCTCGTTATCCTCTCTGCATTAATATAATTAAGTAGAGTTATGATTTTTAATAAAAAGTTCGAAGAGTAATTTATTTAAATCGTCACATAAACCGCCGATACATTTTTTTAGATCGTTCATATAAAGGAAACAGTTTTGAGTATTTTTAACCAAAACCATTTATTAAATTCACCGACTAATATATATTAAAGTAATTTGTAATATGATATAATATAAGAGTAAAGTAATATAAAAGTGATTTTTTAAACAGTTTAGTAAAACATATAGTAATAAATAACAAAAAAAACAAAATGGGCCAATCTGAAATTAATTTATTGCTGCAGGGAATTCGTATTACCGATAATATGATATTTTTGGATGGTGACCCTATAAGTGGACCAAATTTAGAATTGGAGGGAGCTTTTTTGCGTTTTTATGTCGTAATAAATAATCAGTACGTTGTACCAATGATAGGACGAATATCACACGTTTCGGCAGATAAGGATTTTCAAGTAATAACATTTTTTTATTCTTCAGGCTTTTTTACGGAAGTTTAAGTCACGAGATTAAATTAGTTTTTTACAGGTTCTTCAACCAGAATCATCATTCATTCCTAATGAAAGCGATTTAAAGCGCTGTGGAATAATGCCTGAAAAGCCGTATTTCAATAGGACACCTGATCTTGGCCCAAACACTGACATCGTCCAAATTATGAAAACATTTAGAGAAGAGGCGAAATAAGATGCGTTCACATCACCACTTCGTTTTTCCAATTCGCGATATCAATATATGCGGGTCTCGGTTCTAATCGAATTTTATTCAAGGATCCACTTGAAAAAGTGCTTTCTGTCTTATTTCTTAATTTAAACCAATTTTTTGAAACTAAATAAAAACCATGTCTTATATAACTGTAGGAATAAAAGACGGTGAGGTAAAAATAAAAATCAAGTCTAGGTTAAATAAGTTGAGATATCAACAAAAAAATAAAAATTTTCTTTCCAAAAAAAGAAAAAGAGCAGAAAGGGAACAGAAATAAGATGAATTTTCACTCCAAATTAATAGCGTTTTTCTTTATGATCGCGCCATTCATCACGGCGTCTATCTCTTGGTGAACGATCACGACGATTCCGATCAGGTCGGCGACTGGAATAATGGCCCGCTTCATCTGCATAACGACCTCTGTAATTCGAAAATGATGGTAGAAACAGATCTCTTTATTTTATTCGAAATTTTTCGCTATTTAAAAATTTTATTACATATAATTACGGAACAGGAGAAACAAACCTTCTTCCAAACAGCCTTTCTCCAAGTTCAGGGCTAACTGCTTTAAGATGCATAAAATTACAAAAGCCTCCTTTATAGCACGTAGTTACCTCATGCTGTCGACAACGTGATTCGCGAAAATCTGTTACAGGTGAAAGTTCTACATATATTGGCTGTCCATTGAACCTTAAAAAGAAAAATATGGCGAAGCACGTGCGAAAAAAATCCCACAGCTCCATCCGTTATCAGAGATCTTCTGGAAAAAAGTCAATCCATTGCGAATATTTGATTTTAATCGCCAAAAGCAGACTGACGTTAGCTAAACCTAACTGAGATATAAAATACCGTACTGATTGCCATCTCGGCTATTTTTTCCATAGAAACTCTACTACACCTCGATTTACAATTAATTACCTTTTGCAGAGCGACACTGGTTGGAAAATTCACGGGCATTATCTAAATATCTAAATGGGTATTAGGTTATTTATTTTTTTTTTGCTAAAAATGAGGCTGAATTCTATATTGTTCTAATTGACTATTATTGAATTATAAATCTAAGTCAAAATTAAGAATTCAAACTTATTATCTTACTCTAAAATTTAATTATTCGCGTAATGCATTACATAAAATATCTTGAAAAAATAAACCCTCATTGGCTGCGCTGATAATCTTATAGAAAAAATATTCATATTAAAAAGATAATTTAGAAGTCGGTCGGCACTTAAAAATTTAGGATTTTTTGAAGTATCCTAACCATGAAACATAATTTTATTTAGATAAGCGATCAGACCGCTTTATAATATTTTTGTTCACCCGATATGTTGAAAAAAGACATTGAAACCATTGCATTAAAAATGCCTTGTATTTCAGCGATTATCTAATTTTTAGACCTCTAATTCAATTATAACTAATTCATTTAAATGCAATGAGAGTTAGAGCAGAATCAGTACAAAAATAACGAGGCGGATACGAATTGTAGAAGCCGCCTATCTAATAAAATTCTGGAGTGTCCACGCAATATATCTCCATGCGTTGAAGAGAGAGCATCTGAACAAGATAAAATAAGTTTGACCCGCGAAAAAGTAAAATTTCGACTAAACTAGTTAATCTACTTCTATTTACTTCAGTTCGAGTCAGCTCGTACTGGACAAATAATATTTCCAGCCTTTTATGTTTTAAAGGATGATAATCATTAAATACATACCTACTATAGATTTAGAAGAGTAGAAATTAATATGCAGCAGATGCAGTTCAATAATAACTTTTAATCTGTTAAATTAGTGAAAAATAAATAAATTAATATAGACAAAAAATGAGCAATTACCATCGATTTTCTAGATCTTTAACTGCTTTTTCGGCATCCTCTTCACGCATAAATTTAACATAAACATTTCCAATCATATGTTCGCCAATATTCTCGCACACATTCATTTCATCAATCTCTCCGTATTTACGTTCTAATTCAGTAAAAACCTCAAATGATATATAAAACATGTTCTGATAATTTAAAAATATCTTAGAGGGCCAAAATTTGCATCAAATAATAGGTATAAAAAAAATGAAGTTTGCACTTCTTACCTCTTCATAAAATTCATCAAAATAAGCTTGCTCTTCGGCATTTCGTTTTCCCACTTCTGAAAATATAATCCTTGAAGCCTATAAGCAGTATGAATTACATCGAAATTCTTTATGATTTAAAAATACCCGAGATAAAATTAAAAGCGCAAATGGTAAATTTCGAAGGACATTTAAATATTTTAAAAAAACTAACTATCAAATGCATCTGCTTGACGAACATCTACGATTGGATTATGGTAGAAATTTTGAAGAAGAATAGTCGGAGAAAATGTTGGCCTATGATGTGTGCGTGAACATTTGTCACCGTGCCGACATGCACCAATCTATATGATTAGCATTAATCTTATTTAAGGATTTAAACTTTTTAAAATAAATTATCTTCGTACAAAAAAAGATTTCAGTTTTTTTGAATTAAAAACATCATAAATTTGGAAATAACTATCAAGGAACCAGAAAGGCAAAGGCTAAGTTTAAGGCTATTAATATGAAATGAAACCTTGAAATAGAAAGAGCAGTTGACTTTATCTTTTTCTGTACCGTAAATTGAAGCCAAATATTCAGCACCAGAAAGACCTTCGGTTTGCTGATAGCCATATGACAATCCACGACGGGATGCAGACATATCTTTTAACTGACGGACTACAAATTACATAATTGTTGCAAAACTGCGAAAGTAAACAGCTACGAAAAAATGCAAAAAAATGACCCGAAGACGCCTGCGAACAGTCCAATGATATAAAAATCCCGTAGGCGGAGCTGAAAAGGAGTGGAAGAGGGCCAACCCCAAAACAACCTTTTATTTTGGCTACCGACAGTAATAGAAGTGAAGTGATGATGCATACGAGGTCAGTAAGGCAAAGGAAATTACCATTAGAGATCTTAAATTAAAGGTATCATAAGTAAAGAACAAGATAAATCGAAGAAACGCGATTACGTATCGTATAAGGATAAGAACCACTGAACCACTGTTTTAACTACAGACAAGGTCAAAAACCGTGATGCGTTCGGTTCTTGTCCACTGACGCTGGTTATAAATCTGCTACTGAAAAATAAAATCTGCTGAAAACTCTACCGCTGGTACTCTACCACTAAATAACTCTCCAATTGATTTGATTTTAGCAATTACCGGACCGGTGAAACGAATTTTAGAAATTACGAGCGTGATTAGGAGAAGCGGAAGAAGGAAACAACAAATCACACAAAAAAAAACAAACTGAAAAAGGACATATCTATGCTAATTTTTTAAGAACAGTGGAATTTAAAGCTCGCAGAAAAATTTACTTTTAATCAGAAAGAAACAAAACGTCTTTTGTAAAATATATCTGAAATATTTAATTTTCTTAGCAGGCACAGAAAATTTAAATGATAAAAACAACAAAAATCTATCATTAATACTTTAGAACGATTCAGTGGATTGTTCCTCACTTACTGATGCACACCGAAGTATTGGATCTATTTTTTGCAAGAATAAATATGCCTTTTAGAAATCCACGTATTACTGCTGACCGCACCTTATACTTCTATTGCAATATGTGACTCTCTAGCAAAATTTATCGTCGTCCAGTGCAGCGCGTCTAATCAGAATAATAGAATAACCAGAAAAAAAAGAGAACTAACTAATGAATGAATGAAATTATACACAAAAAAAAAACTAATATTTACAAAATTCATCGAATTTCTTGAAACATTTTTCTACAATAAAATTTCTTTTAACGACATCCTTTACCAAATTATTTAATCGATGACTTAATCAATCCAACACTTAGTTAATCCTAAATCCCAAATGACCCTTTGACCCGCCGAACACCACAATCACCAAACGAAGACCACCTTCCCAACCTCAGAAATACTTACAATGACCAATAAGGCCCTCACCGTTATTAATCAATTCTTCATCAAAATTTTCAGTTCGAGAATCATTACACGCATTACAGCTCAATATTTATTCAATTTTTTCCCACAATTTTTGATAAAACACTTCCCAGTATGCTCAAAATCGCTGAAGTGAATGATGATTCCTAGCAAAATTGTTTGGTCTGACAGGCCAATAGAATAGGTCATAGCAAGGAATATTTTTTGCAAAAAAAAAATCGCAATTAAAAATAAAAAACTCGAAGAAAGGATTTTTAAAGAACTTTATACTTTCACAGTAAAACATAAAAAAATATAAATGAAATATCACAGAAGAAATATTCCAAAAAAATAATTAGGAAAATTATAAAACAAATTGACTTTTTAGCAGAAACAAGTATCCTCGCATTACCCTTTTTTTAGTATTGCATGATAAATGTCGTCTGATAACCAAAAATCAACAATTAATTAACAAGAACAAAATAAAAATTACAATTTTTGATAAGTGACCTGTTTTTGTAAAATATTCATAATAAAAGGATAATTTTCAACATATTTAGTGGATTCCGATGAAATAACCGATGAATTATACGAATGCATAAATGATAACAAAAAATTTAAACGACTTGAATTTGTCTGTTTTATGAACCAATCACTGTAATAATCTAATGACCAATTTACTGATGTATGGGGTGATAAAAGTGTTAAATCACTTTGGCTTATTAGTAATTGCACTGTGAACCAAAAGGGTAATTCTTCACATTTTTCTAATTCCTCAGGTGAACAACGATAGGAATTAATTAGACTGTTTATAATATTTAATAAATCAGTTTTAATATTAAATTCACTAATGGAATTTTCTGTAATGTATTGTAAATCATTTGATAAAAAATTTAAATCATTAATAGTTACAGGTCTTAATAATGATGAATTTACTAAAAATAACTCAATTACATAATTTAAGAAATTCCGCAATTCATCATTATTATCGTTTGTTAAAAATAATGATAAATGATATCGAAATACAGTTAAATAACTACACAATTCTTTAACATATGGCGATGGCATGCCAAGTTTTTCATTATGCATTGATAATAAAATTGCGAAAACTGATGAACGAGCTATATTAAAAATCCTAGAAATGGCATCCGAAAGAATCTTCATCAAAGAACCACTATAATTTGGCCAAGTTGCAATCAACGAATTGCCAATATTAATCAAGTCATAATTTAACATCTGAAATTTTATATGAATGAAACGAATGAAAGTAAATATTTTTTTACAAAATATACCAGTGTTAAACAATAATTAATCACTTTTAATACCTAATAAATAATTACCTGAGCGCTGCTAACTCGATCTCCCATATGAAGAGAATTTTCGTCTAGTAAAAGGCGTTGTTCGAATCTCTGAGCGATAATGTTGAATGATTTTATTATATTCACCTCCATCTCAGACTTTAATTCAGAATCCCAATTCACCAACGACATTTCGGCATTAAATAAGCAATTAATCTGTAACGATATCTCTCCATTTCTCTCCAAAGTATCAAAAATGAAGAGGTCTGATCAAGATTACAAATAAGATATAGCAGAAATACACACACAGATGGCTCAAAAGGCTATTACTTCCACAAGCTTTATCCAGCAGAGTCAACCAACCATTAGTGGGAAACAATGTTAGAAAAAAAAGAGAATATGATATACAAGATGCTATAAACCATATGATGCGAAAAGAATTTCGAACGCATTGGCCGATCGGAAATATGAGCCTATATGAGATATAGTTGATATTAGTGGTTCAATTAATTTCAGTCGGCACCTTGTATAAATATCTAAAGAAGCTTATCCAAAGTAGAAATGTACTATGCAATGATTACTTATATCATCTCTTGACGAAAAAGACAAGATTAAAGGAATAATTAAATTGGAATAATTAAAAAACATATTAAAGGAATAATAACTAGAATAATTAAATAATTGGAATAATTAAAAAATTAACTAAAACTACCAGTTTTCTATCAATCCCCTGTCCTTTAACAATAATAACAAAAAAGTATATTTAATAAAAAAAATGATGAAAAAAAACCTTTTCAATAGCAGGATTTCGCAATAAGGGATCGTCAAGAGCTTTATTAATAATAGCAAACATACGATTGAAAGACTGCGATAAAATTGCATTTTTAAATGGTTTTAATGCATCGTATAAAGGACCAATAGTTGCTAAAGAATACGTCGAAAATATTTTTGAAAATAGCTGAACAATACGACAAGCAGAAGATGAATTCACTGGAATACGATTTGATAAAATTTCAGCGAACTTTTTGCAAAACATCTTGCCAACGTTATCACCCAAAAGAGCAAACTGTTCCAACGACATCTGAAAAAAAAAAAATCAACAGAAATAAACAGAAATATAAAAAACCGATTAAAGGCACAAAAAAAGTACATGAACTTTGTTTGACAATTGAGTAATAATTTTTGTATCCATTTCCGATGCCAAACCCAATTTTAAAAAATCTGAATCCAGTGATTTTGCACTTTCATCAACCAAATTTGCGATCTTAAATAGAAATAAAAAGAATTGTAGTATAAACCAAATTTAAAACAAATATAAAAGTGGGAAATAATTCAGCATTTATATAATTCAGTATTTATTAATCATTTTAAATAAAAACTGGTGTAATATAAATCATTTAATTCAAGCAAAATTTGAAAAATTTTTTTCATCTTAAAGAAAAATATATAAATATAAAAAACTAAACCTCAGAATCATAACACGAAAGATTCTTTAGTGCTCGCAAACAACATGAAGCAAGAGGCGCATTCAAACTTCCCATAGAAGATTTCAATTGCTGAACGGTGATCGCGAGCGTTTCTTTCGTTAAACATGGAATCTAAAAAATATTATATTAGAATATTAGAATCTATTATTTCATCTTTAGGAATATTTTGAAAAAAAAATTAAATAATTTAATTTGACAAACACCAAAAAAATTACTTTAACAAAAACAATTTCACTCATTCGATTGATATCTTTGAGGCAAGGATTTTCTTTTAAAATTTCATTTAATTCGCAAATAATTTCAGATCGTTTTACGACCTCGTCAATTGTATTTAAGCGTATGATCAACAATTCACATCTAAAAAAAAAACAATTTATCAATAAAGACTAACTGATAAATGACTAACTTGTCAAAAAATCTGGGAATTGCATTAATCTTTTGTTTCTTACTGCAATCAAAAATGATACTAGCAAAGCTTTATCAAATTTTAATATACATTAATAATCCAAGCCGTGGCAACACAACTCTTCTCTTAATGTTCTGAACCACCACAGTCCCTCCAAAATCATGTCCCGCCGAATTAAAATTCTCTTTTATTTATATCTATTATGTTCCACATTTAATCTTTCAAAATTCTATCAAATCTATAATTCATTTAAGTGGGACGATACTGGATATCTCAAATCAATATCATGGTCACTTCTTTCGACTACCTGACAAAATCTCCCTCGTATAATAAGCCAGTAGAATGAACCTAAACAGCAATGCAGCGCTTTTACAAAATAATTTTTCAAAATGATCAAATCTTTAGGAAATCACAGGTCATACAGCATAAAATTTCCTTCTGGTATCTTTCAAAACCTACCATCTAATTTCATGAGAAAATTCCGCGAATTTCGTAAAATGTTCCTTTCAAATCTTCCATGCATTTACCAAATCTACTGAGAACATCACTTAATCATCTTTAAGCTTTAAACCTAGTTGCAATCATTTTATTTCATTCGTTTTCATTTTCCTTAATGTTGAATTGTAGTGCATTTTTACAGCCATAAGCCAATACATAAATAAATCGGTTAGCAAACACCAATTCCGGTACTCGCTCTAGTGGCTGTATTACAGTTTATGTTTTAGCTATTCATTTAAGATAGAGATAAAAATAGGTCGCCAACGACAATTCCATTTTTTAATGTTAAAGGATTTTAGTCCTGTTGGAGATAGCAGCCAAACACTTCTCAATAGTAATCTTAAATAAGGTTATCTTCACAGCCGTGCTTACAAATTTTAAAAAGTGTAGAATATATCGACAACTAGAGATGCCTCACAAATACTTGAAAAATCCGTTATCCTTCTTTAAAACCCTTTCAGAATCCATTATTTTCCGCCCTCCACAATTCTGATACCTTTTTTATAATTTTCTGATGTTACTGCGCAATAATGTCGTTTCTTTTTTCACTTATCGCTAAAAAATTGTAATGAGAACAAAAATATATTGCTCAAATTCTTCCATGCACCATTAACTAACCTATTTATTGCAAACAGCAATAATTTAAGCGCAGACATCTGTTCCAGTTGAATAACTCCTTCATGTAATCGTTCATAGCAAGTGGAAAAACGAGTACTTAATGTCTCACTTGTTTCGCACAAATTTGCCATGTCTCTACTGATTATTTCTTGTAGATTACCAAGACCTTGTAAAGCGCTGGCTTGTTCAACCAAATGCGAATAATGTTGTTCGACATATAAATTTTTTTATTTTTTAATTAATTTTTTCAAGAAACTGCAGCAAAAAACGATAAACGATAATGATAAAATAACAATAAATAAAAAATAAATAAATTGATTCGAAATATGAACTTGTGAAAACATTGAAATAAACATTATACTTACAGCTTTACGAATCTTGCGCTTTATACTTTCCTTGATTTTTTCAACTCTCTCTAGCAAAACTTGTTCATTAATATCATCAGCTGCAACCAATTTTTTCGTATATTCCTGCCAATCTGATCGGCCCCAAATGCAATCTTCAAGATCACCTTCCAGTGACATTTGCCTGAAAATATATAACAACACTTTTCAGTTAAATAATTAAGTGATAACCACAAACTGAAAAAACCAGCAAAAAAACGAACATATCGCTTAATCGAAGCGCAATATTCCATATTCAAATACAATATAAAATAACTTAAATTCTAAAAAAAAATAAATAATAAAAGAATATATAAAAGAATATAAAATAAATAATAATAAAATAAATAATAAAGAATAAAATAAATAATAAAAAAAATAAATAATAAAATAAAAGTAATAAATAATAATAAGTATAATATAAAATAAACAAATTTAAATATAAACAAATAGAAATAGTTTTAATTATTGAAATAATCTGTTACCGACGATATTTTATAATTTCTCCTCTAAGCACCCCACCTCCATCCAAGTTCCTCCACGTTTTATTCAAAATTACTAGGTTCTCAAGCCACTGTTCTTTGTGGCCGAATTCGGCTCATTCGGCGGGCCGACACACTGCTGCTAAATAGGTGCATTATGCCATTACTCAAAGTCTTACGGTGGTGAAATACCAACTTTTGTGAATTCAATAGAGATTAATTATTAGTTTCGGTTGTTAAGCACCTATAGATCCACTCTTATGCATAATAGCCAAACTGAGGATGAACTTGAACTTTTTTGGTGTCACCGCGAAGTAAAGTGTAGAATGAAGGATAGCATCCATCTGACTAAGGTACAATAGGTGTCCTGTATGGGTGCGCAACTTGGCCGATAACATGTCGAGAAACCATCTAATTTTGCACCGTCGTTTGACATTCTACATGTCACCGAGCGCTGTGGTCGTTAAGAAGGTGGAGGCTCACCAATCAGAAGGATTCGGCATGTCTAGAGGGTACCGCGAGTTTTTAAGCGATCATTTCCATGAAGCATATCAGGATTTGAAGCCAAAAGGTGGATGCAATTCTCGAGCCTTTTTCATTTTAAAGCGCTAATGCCGGAGATTCTATTCCTGGCTTGGTGTGAGCTTGTCTTTCAGAGGTGCTGGCCAATTCATATGCACTTCTAGTGATTGCCTGATAAAATTTGTTTGATCAGATAAGCCAGCGAGCCTAACTGAAAATAGTAACTAAAAATGCTCTCAGAAAAAAATTGACCAAAATAAATCAGTTCTGTCCGGCAATAATTTTAAATGAAGAACCACAATCTTGAAACAGCGAAAGAATTCTCGCTTAGATAATTCTCGCTTATTATAGTCGAAATAAATAATCTTTAAATAAATAATAAATCATCCATAATTATCAAAAATGAAAAGGAAAACCGCTTAGATCGACGAAAGTTTTGCCAAAACCTAATAGAGAAACCTAGGCTATAAGATGAAAGGTGCAATTTTGAAAACCATTGGCAACATTGGCACCATTGGCGATACAATTTATATTTATTTATTATGAACTGGCAATTGAATATTTGATTATAGCGATTTTTTATAGCAATTTTTATTCATGAAATCCATTTATTAATAAATGTGCATAATCCTGCTGGCACATTCCTTGTGCGTACCACCAATCACCGAAATCAACGGCTCGCGATTGTCGCATACCTTTATGCAAAAGTTTACATAATTCGCACATCGAATTGATTGCTGGTAAGCCATATGAGCCTATCGTAGACGTAATATAATTCTGAGTCCATTCGAAATACCTAAAATTATTGCCAATTCTTGACTAGTATGGCCTAATTGTTGGAAAAGCAGATAATAACTACTGAAGAATCGTAGAAAAATGAAATACCGATATTTCAAAAAAAGACTTACTTCATATATTCAGTTATATTTTTCTCAACAATTGATAAATAATCAGCTAATGCCTTTGGAGAAGAAAAATCATCCGCAGCGATATATGATCCGTCGGGTAGAAAATGTCGATAAATTGACTTCTTTAATACAATAGGAATAAGCAATTGAGCCATACGATCGAAAAGTTTCTCGGTAGCATAATCACGGCAAACGCTATTCTCAAATGCAAGATAGAAACGATGTTCAGCTGTAAGAAAGATTTATTCCTTATGGAAACGAAAATTTTCAAGGATATTACTTATATCAGCATTACGTTACCTGCCATTAATCATTATCAGACAACTGAATTATAGTCAAACTAATCAAAAGCTTCGTCGAAATTGAGAGGCATATAAGGCATATAAATCAGATCAAAAATGATTCAAATATATTTCAAGCATATTCCATGTATTACATTAAATTTAAGTAAATAAATAAGCAAAATATTAGTAATAAAATTTAATGTGAAATAAGAGCTTTTAAGAGTCGACCTACAAACTCTGTCCAAATCTGGAATAACTTCAGTCAACATCCCCTCAAAATCAGTTCTATTCTTTCATTAACTCCTCCTTAGGCTCTATTTTATAATACTTCCACGCTCACAAATTCTTGCCCATTATTCAATATTCTTATTTGGTATATTCTTGTTTTATTTCTTTAGTTAAGGTGATATAAATGGTTTTAAGAGTATATTTTTTTTACTAATGAATTAATGAACTAGCGAAAAAAATACAAAGCTTAATGGAATTTTACAGGAGAATCACTGGAGTCGTGAAAGAAGATTAGCATATAATTATAATTAGCATATAGCACATAATATAATTGGCTTTGCTAGATATTTTAAAGTTTCAAATCATTATGAAGGACAGAGATTTCATATTTTATTATATTATAACGACGATGATTGTAAATCCTGCAAATTAAATTGCAAAAATAATTGTGGATGCATTAGCAAACATAAATTCAAATAATTTACCTATGGCATTTTCTTCACATTTGTTTCGACAAGGATTCGAATTACAACTTCCAAAAACTGTAACGTTAATATAATTTTTAAGTTCTTCAACATAGACTTCTCGCAAAGATGGTGTTGAACAATGAGAAACGAATTGTAAAACAGACTTGGTTTTCATTTTTATGATTCTTTGAACCTTAAATTTTATCATTTGTTAAAATGGAGTTTAGTGATAAATTATAAGAAAAATTTGGTGCTTTGGTACTTTATTTCAGATTCTAATATTTCTTAATGAATGAGAAGCCAAAAAAGTCTCATACCTTTTCCCAAGTCCAAATTTTTTTAGGATCGGATAATTTAGTAATCCGTTGCAGTCGACCATATCCGTAATAAAAATCGCTATCCACTCTGAAAAATTCTTTGTTTTAACTTGGAGCAGTTATTAATTCGCGCTAATCTAGAGGCATAAAAGTAAATTTACTGATAGATTAGCTTTAAAAAATTTCCTCACTCTCTTCTACTGCTAACATCTATGGTGTTAAAAGAATCAGTTTTGTGATCAATTTTTTCTTGTTAAGTTTAATAAAATTTAAAATTTATGAAAACCTCAAAAATTCTACCTATAAGTCATTGTTAAATTGAAAAATTTTGGTGTTAACATCGCAATAGCAATTGATACATGATGTGGGGATTCGCGATTTAAGAATACATAAACTTGGTTATGTAATCGTTGTCTCTCTTCGGGTAAATCATACAATTTAACATCAGTGCTATGGAAGATTACAGCACCAGCTTTTAGAATGTCGCTGAAAACATTTTTTGCAATTTATTTCATTGATGCTACTGATATTGGTTTATCTCTAAATAATTCAGATTTTATTGCAAATACTTTTTCGCTTACGTTGATCTAAATATTCTTTAATACTTATTGAGATAAGCCATTTCAACTTGCCGATGGTTTGCAACTATTTCAGTCTAAAACGTCAAATATGTCTCCTCCAAAAACTGCCATAATATCAATACAATGTCTCATTCACTAACATTATTAACATCATTATTTTACCTTCGTGATGTGATAATATCACATTTATACGAGCAGTGCTGCAGAGCTTCCTTGATCATTTTATTCAAACTCCTATTAAACATTGTAGTCCAATCCAATATTGTATGATTTAGCATAATCCTTTCCTGAAATTTCTTTATTATTTACGAGAAAAAATCCTAAAAATTTCTTCTTAACATTTAAAATTCTACTTTTATTATATTGCATGGATATGAGTTAGATAAAATTTGATGAAAAAAAATGCAAAATTCAAAAAAATGCGTGGTTTTTTATCAATAAGAAGAAAAAGGAAAAGGAAAAAGGCATTTGGGCTAAGGAAAAGGAAAATAAAGAAGAGAACAATAATATTTCGGATGATTTCGGATGAAGAAAAAGGAAAATAAAAAATGATAATGATTTCGGTGATAAAAATTAAATACTACCAAATTCTTTATTTCTTGAAAACCATAATTGTTGAAAATAATTGTTAAAAGATTTCGTATTTTCTCGAAATTTATTATTAATAGAATTATATAGATTAGTGGAATAAAACAGCGAATTTTCTTCATCTAAAAATTTTAAGAAAAAATTAAAATTTTTTATAAATTCCATTTTTTGGATTTTTATAATAATTTAAAAGATATTTTGAATAAAAATTTACCTACAATTATTTCGCATTTCGTTAAACACTTTTAGAATAATTTACTATGCTCAATTAGTAGGCTTTTCTACTCTCCTAACAAATCTATCTATTCAATAGTGAAAGAATAACGAGCGAACAAAGAAAATTTGTTAAAAATAAAGCCAAAAAAAGACACCATACTGCCAGTTGTTTTTTAATATTATAATGAGCTTGGAACAAGCAATTTTTCTTAAAATTATTGGCGTACAGCAACTATGGGGTGGGTGACCAAGACCATAAACTTTCAAGATTATTCTGTGATTTGTTATTTATCATAAATAAAATCGCATAGCGATAATATTACGATAGATGGTAAAAAGAGAGGGACTTATAAAATTGATAGAAGATAGAGCACTTGCCGCTAGCGATTCATATATCCCACTAGTTTTTTTTGCTTATGTCGCAGGAGAACCAAAAATTTAAACATTTATGAATGAAAGGAATACAAATAAGGGTAGTTAAAGGTAGAATGGCTCAGTGCTTTGCTGCTCTTATTTTGAAACGCTGACATTCCACTCTCTACAAAGTAAACAAAGTTGCTTTCAAAAATCCAAGAGAGGTTCTGGCAGTCCGTCTACTTCTGTCTCTAAATGACTTTCTTCCAAAATTTGCAAGGTCCGACAAGTCGGAGGAACGAGCTCTGAAAAAAATTGTATGCATTATAGAAAACAAATAGGAACTATAGTTGCTAAATATTATTTTAAAAAATTAGACACATTTGTACATTCTAATTTTTTCGTTCACATTTTTGAAGAAATGGTACAACAATATAGAATGGTGCAACATAAGAAATGAACCAATCGAGAAATCACTGGTGAGGAAATTAGTTCAACGATGAGGAAAAATGTGAAGCGCAAATTACTGGTAAAAATGGCGAAAAATGGCGTTAATGAAAATATAGAGAAAAAAGGAAAAGGAAAGAGAAAAAAGAGACAAAAGACTGTCCCTTGCTTGTTAAATGGACCAAATGACCGATTATATTTCACACTATTGAAGAATAATTTTCATCGATGTTTGTTGAAAGAAAAAAAATCACCTATTCTCACCTATTTTCACCATCACCTCCAATGAATTGCCAACAATACGATTCCTTGTACTTTCTCCTCATTCTTCATTTAGTCCTTCTCGTCTTTCTCTTCATTCATTATGCATCCATATTTCCTCCTAATAAATTTTTTTCCATTTCGCTTTTTTTCTGTTTCTATCCTTTTATTAAATAGCTAATTATTTATAGTATAATTATAGGAAATATTCGCTATGCTTTTTATATCTACATATTTTAAAACGAAAATTTTATAAATTGATATTAGCGCAGCTGTACAACTAACGATATCGATAACCAAATGATAACCAAATGAAATGCAGTACTTGAAATTGAACGAATATATCGCTTCGATCAACAAAATCCAAATTTTCTATCACTTCGATGATAAGAAAAGTATAAGTGGTATGATAATAAAGGAAATGATAAAAAATTAACAAATTCAGATTTCACATTTCATATTTATTTCACATTTCACATTGATTTCACATTTATTTTTACACTATGCAAACAATTATTTGCACCAATATTTCTGAACAAATTTTTTTTTTCACATGTCACTCCTGTTGATTAATAAATTACCAAAATCTGATTGACATTTTCCTTCGCGGTACCACCAAACTTTATAGTGAAAGGTTCGCGGTTTTCGGAGGCCCTTATGCAATAATTTACATAATTGGCATACTGAACTAGCTGGTAAATATAGGTCACTAAATGTTACAATATATTTTTTAGTCCATTCAAAATATCTGAAAATCTTTACGATTTGAATCGATAGACGAATGAATATATTAATTATTTAGATAGGGAGTGCCACAGCGTACTGTAATAAGATGGATCCACTTATACAATACTTCTATCCAGTTACTGATTCTTGGATATTGGATGCTTATAGTATAATTATAGGAAATATTCGCTATGCTTTTTATATCTACATATTTTAAAACGAAAATTTTATAAATTGATATTCGATTTACCCTTGACATAAGTAGAATCCCAACATTGGCCCTCAGACCATATTTATAGGGAGTGCCACAGCGTACTGTAATAAGATTTTTTGGCAATTCGATTTCTTCTTAGTAATTAATAGAGTCAGCCAAATTAGAAATTAAGGAAGAAAGCTTACTTCATATATTCAGTTATATTATTTTCAACAGCTGATAAATAATCAGCTAATGTCTTTGGAGAAGAAAAATCATCCGCAGCGATATAAGAATCATCTGGAAGAATATGTCGATAAAATGATTTTTTTAGAACAATGGGAATAAGTAATTGGTCGATTCGAGTGAAAAGTTTTTCAGTTATATAATCTCGACAAACACTATTTTCAAATGAGAGATAGAAGCGATGTTCAGCTGTAAAAAAAAATTTTTCAAAAATTTTTTGATTAATAAGTATAAATTTGAAAATAAATAAATATGGTCTGAGGGCCAATGTTGGGATTCTACTTATGTCAAGGGTAAATATAAATATGCCCAAAAATTCGAGTAATTCTAGCGACACACCTGCACTGCTATCGCCAAGAGACTTCCTGGCATATTTCTAATCCGAGAAACCAGCAAATTAAGCAGTAATGATAAGTTATATTATTAGAGATAAATGATATTATTAGAGATATCATTAGAGGTAAATGATGAAATGATAAATAGAAGATATTAGAGATAAATGAAATTATCCACATTGTTAATATTTTTATTTTTTCTGATAAAAATTCCGTTCACTCAAAATCGGTTTGGGATATCTTTTTTCAGATTACAAATTCATAAATTTATATGAACTTATTTAGTGCAATGAAAAATTTACAATCAAATCACATTTAAAAACTTTTTTTCTTCCAATTTAAAAATTTTCTGATATAAATTTTCTGATATTTTCTGATACAAATTTATTTGAATGCAAAATTTAAACTTGCCTACGGCTGTTTCCTCGCATTCATTTCGACATGGATTAGATGTGCATTTGCCGAAAATTGTTACATTGATGTAGCGTTTAAGTTCGTCAACATAATCCTCTCGTTTCGATGGAGTATAACAATGTGAAACAAATTGTAAAATAGATTTTTTCTTTTTTTTTACGATTTTTTTAATCTGAAATTCTGCATTTCTTTTTGCATTTATCCGACTGATGAATATTTAATGGGAAATTTTAAAAAATTTCAAAATTCATTTAGAGTCATTTCATCTCAATTTTATGCCAGTTAGCCATTTTTTTGCAATAATGTTTTGTTTTTGATAATTTTTCCGTAATTTTTTAATTTTATCTCATAAAACATCGACTAAGCGGCGATTAATTTTTGATTATAGACACTTGAAGAACATTTATCACTTTACTTTCATTTTTCGCTATACTTTTATTATGAAATTATTAATTTTTTTATAATGCGCACAATAAAAGGAAACAATGCAGCTATGATTTAAACTTTTTTTTTAACCTTTTAGCATTTTAAAACGATTTGGAATGCACAAAAAACATATAGAAATAAAAATCCAGAGTTTACATCTTTCCAATTTCGGATTTTGCTAGGATCAGTTGACATAGTAATCTTTTTCAATCGACCATAGCCATAATAAAAATCACTATCTAACCTAAAATAGTAAATTGCAATTTAGACGCGGTGAAAATTAAAAGGAATAATTCATTTATCTATAGGATTCCAGATTTATCTTAGTGCTGCTGCACTATTAGAAGTACGACAATTAATGAATTTAATTGACTTGTAAAAAATTAGTTAAAAAGTTTATTTCACCTATATGTCATTGATAAATTAAAAAAATATGGTGGTAAACGCTTTGAATAAATATACGTATGGTGTGGCGATTCTCGGTTTAACAATACATATACTTGATTAGGAATTCTTCGTTTTGGTAAATTATTTAAGCGAAGATCATTAACATTGAAAAGTACAGCACCAGCTTTTAAAATGTCCCTAAGGAATATATTTTTAATATTTCAAAAAATCCCTTTATTTTAATTATTAAATTATTAGATCGAATTCAATTACTTAAAATAATTTAAAAATTTCGTTGCCTATCATAAGATAAATATTACGTTATTTGTTAAACCCTATGGTGGATAGCTTCAAAAGCGAGGTCAGCCGATCAAAGCTTAAAGGCATAGAAGCGGCCAGTGATATATGGACTTGGTGGAAATGAAATATGAATTCGAATTCATCCCTTTCTCACCACAAATTCGTCTAAAGGTAAAATTAAAGGCAAAATTCACTGGTTGGTGCTATGGACCATTTTATTTCTATCGCAAAGATTACAATGAATTTATTCTTAAAAAAATTGGAAAATTTAGATTTTCGCTTTCCCCACATTTTTGAAAAATTTTACTTAAATTTACTCTACTTTCGAGATTCAATTATATCGCATTTATGTGAGCAAAATTGCATTGCATATGCGATTTTCGAATTCATACTCATATTAAATATTGTTGTCCAATCCAATATTGTATGATTTAGTGCAATTCTTTTCTGCAATTATTCGTAGCAAAAGATTTGAACAAAAAAAAAGCCATGAAAATAAGGGAATTTTATTGGATAAAAGCGATGAAAGCGAGGAAAACTCTAAGGGGTATCACCGGTAAGCTGAAAATAATAAATGGTGAAAAAAAAAAGAGAATAGAGATGATCCACTAGATTTTGGTGAAATGAAAGAGGAATTTAGCTAAATATATGGTTATTCTCTCCGTTTATTCTTATACGTACCGTAGTTTTTATTTTCGGAGAATATCTATATTTGCTCAATAGAATTGATGAAATACTTCGAAAATTCGCAAAATTTTCTATAAATAAAATTGCATAGACCGAAAAAATAAATAAATGAATTTTTTTCATCTGAAATTGAAAAAATTTGTGAAAAAATTTGTAATTTCTGAAGTCTAAAGCGGCTGGCATTCACTGCATGCACTTTTTATATTCAAATAAATATTCAATCCAGAAGAGAAACAATTTTTCCTTCAATTTTTCGTAAACTTCTAATTATTAATAATGAATCTTATTTCAGTTCTATACAATAGGTAAGTTTTTCGATGCTAATAGGTTATGCTAGAAGACTTTGGAATTGCGAGCGAGTGATTTGATAAGATTGAGGAATATGTAAGGTTTTTCACAGAAAAAAATATTTTATGTGATATCGAGGAGAATTAACAGGAGGATTCAGCAGGATTCGAGGCCTTGTCTCATTTTTTTGAAAATATATTTCGAGGCAAATGAGTATTCAATGAAGATCAATCGTTATATGCTGCTTGAGATATCATAATCGAATAAACAAATTATCATGCTCATAAATGTTCAACAGGAATAAATATATCATCGATATTCCTGACTCTGCTGGCGACCTATTCGAAATGCTATCTCGATATGACATAAATTTTTTTCCATCATAGCACGAAGAGCGTAACCAAAAATGGTGAAAGGCTTATTCTTTCAGTGCCTGTCCAAGTAACAAAAATCGGGCAAAAATTATACGAAAATTGGAAAATTTGTCGTGAAATATTTTTCAATTTATGAAAACGTTGATGAAGAAATAAGGATAGCTATAATAATCGATTTGCCAATTTTAGTAAACTAGTCAAATTTATTAACGAGCATAATAAATAAAAACTTATCAAAATATAAAATCAACCAATTTGTATCAAAGAGAATAAATACTTAGCCCAACAAGTTGACACCCCGAATTCGATAGACTTTAGAACAATAGGTTTAATCAGCTGTTTAAATTAAAGAATAGGCGATAAGGCAATAAGTGATGCCTCATTTTACCTGGTAATTTAAAGGAAAATGGATGTAAATAGCATAAAAAAAGTATAAAATTGTTTGATGACAAATGTCGAGCCTGTCGTCAGAATTTAGATTTAAGGTAATTGTTCTTGACAAAAATCAGTTCAAATGACAGAGCAAGATATTAACAAATTTCATAATTCTGAAAAAAATCCCGTTATTCATCGAAGAAAAATAAAAGGTTTTTTGCAAACAAAAGAACGTTTAAGGTGATTTCTCCAACTCATTCAAAAGTTACATAATTTATGAGCTTTGAAATATTAGATGATGAGCCGACCGATAGATCACCTAAAATTTGTTCTTCAAATGAATTAGTTGATGTTGTCGAAAAGCTATCAAAATTAAAAGCTCTTGCAATAAAAAGTGCTTCGAAAGCATTAGTTGATGGTGTATATAGTCGGCTAACAGATAGTTGGCTAATAGAGAATACAGTGGAGCCTCATAAAGAACGTTACGATGCGGAGGGAAAGGGCAAAGGTAAGGAAGGATGAGAAGGAAAGGAAGGTATAAAAGATGATAATGGCTATGTGGCTGCCTACGAAAAGGATACTTATCGTAAGTTGCATTCCTCAAACCGATTATTAGTAAAAAAGAAAATAGCGTGGATCTCATTTGTAAGTAAATTTTTCTCCACTTACTTACTTTCTATTGTTTGTAATCCGATTGTATTGTTGGAAAAAATTTTTTTAACTTGAATCAATCGCAGTTCATCGGTTTTTGATATTATTTATTTTAATATTATTATTTGATATAATATTATCACAATTTTAAATTAATATCGTTTTCGTTTAATATTTTATTCCATAAAAATAATTCATATTTTATCTAAAATTTATGGAAAAAATTTTATCTTAAACGGTTTTTTCGTTGTTTTAAACTATTTTAAACTACTTTGACAAATTTTTGTCCCACAATTGAGTCTAACCAAGGAAACATCTATGGGCCTTTATTTGTCGCTTTATTTTTATTGTTTGTGGCTTTGATAGGCTTTCGCCACCAGTTGGTGGATAATTGATTTGCTATGGTCCGAAATGAATTTTCATTGTTAATTACAGATAGACAATGGATGATCTAAGAGAACCTTTTTTTACAAATTATCATTTTTATCATTATCATTATCATTTTTCAGTAGTTTTTATTTCTAGGATCATTATCTCATTCATTATATCATAAATCTACACCGACCATGACGACGGCATTCAAGTCTCTCCTTCTTTCAAAGGTGAATATTGCAAACAATTATTATTCGAACTTACCGCATTTCAAATTCTTTAATTTATAAACTTCATTATAAACTTCAATGAAAATTGACAAAAATAAATGTACTGATAATTCCTGAAATTGCATGATTGATAACGTGCTATCAATGAAAACCATAAATACTTTTCGTAAATTTTCAAATGAACATATAAAGGTGAAAAATTTTAAAGAAAAATTTTTAAAAGTTAAATTTAAGCCGTTTTTTCAAATTTTATAAATTGGCAAAATATTTAATAAATAAATAATAATAAGCAATAATGTTTATAAAATGATTTGAATCGTCATTTGAATTTCAATAAATTTTAAATGAAAATTTTTATTAATTTCGCAACCATATAATTTCTTATTTATTGAAAATTCGATGAATTTTTAATGTTTTTCATAGATGAAATTTTCGTAGATAAAAAACAAAAAGATTTTAATGAAAATTCCAATTTCCAAAATTTTCATTTTAAATTTTAAATTTGATCTTTCCTTTTCGTTTAATGAAAATTTCTCCTTACTTTGTAATATTTATTATATTTTTCCCTTATTAGCGCTTTTATTCTATTGTTCAAATTGTTTTAGTTTAATTTAAATATGTTTTTCTAATTTAATTTATATTTTTTTAATTTAATTTAAATAACATAAAATGATAATATTAATCTATTTGCCAATATTAAAAACCGATAAAGAAAGAAAATAACTGAATTAAACAATTAAACAATTTGGTGTCCATCTATTATGATTACCAATATTATTGTTAGCAAAGAACGTAATGGATAGAATATGCATATGGTTTAGTTTAACTATATTTTCTCCTTATTCACCATCTATGCAAAAATTATGGCAAGCTGCACCAATCAATATAAACAGATGAATCTTAAAATATTGCTGCATTTAGCATTAATAACCAAAAAATTGCAAAAAGTTAATGCTGTAGGTAGAGAAGCATGACTACTAAGATAGCGATGAACTTTAAACATGCATTGTCATTGCCATAAAATCCACTTCAATAACGATGGTGATGGTGTAGGTTGTTCCTGAGGAATGTCCAAAAATCGGAGTAGTGTTGGACTGGTGATTCACCTTCTATTGCCAATGGACTCCTGGCATATTTGTCTTATATGACAAGCAAGCGAATCTTATCTAAGCAGTAATGGTGAAGACGCCTAAATAAAGAAAATTATCCATTTATCAAACATTCTTAAATAAAAAACTCGGCTCATATGTAGTATAAAGTTGTTTTATTAATTTCAAATAATTATGATAATTCTACTATGCATGGTAGGTAGGAAAGATCAAATCAACAACGTTCGCACAACTGAATAATTTTAAATACACTTTTACGCAAATTTGCGTTACTTGAAAATTAACAAAAGGATTAAAGAAAATTAATTTGAATCATTATCGTATGGCTTATGTTTTAATCTCCTTCCGATTTTCTCGATTAGTTTCGATAAAAAAAAGTGGAATGGCTAAGTGGATGGCTACGAAAATTTCCGAATATCCGATGCTGGAGTTCTGTCCTCAGCAAGGTAAAGCGGTCTTTCAGAAAAATAGCGATTACGGAAGCGACTCATTTGTATTTCTATCGCCAAATCATTCCTTAAGGAATTTTTTCAACTGAGTGAGTCTATTCGGTGACTCTTACAGAAGAAAAAATGAAAAACATTGCAAAATATAAGACTATACTAAACTTTACTATTTATTTATTTATTTTATTTTATTCATTATTCATTAAACACGGAGATATAAATAGGAAAGAATATAAAAAAATAGATACAAAATATATTATTATCATCTATATTATTAAATACAACACTAAATGTAAAATAAACTACAAATATAAAATATTAGATAAGTAAATATAAAATAAATATAAACTAAAGAAACATATTATTGATGACAAATGTATAATAAGAAAATTCGATTAAAGGAGTATTTAAAAGACTCAATTTATTCTTCGAATTTCTAATGGCCCTTGTTTGGGATTTATAGAATTATAAATATGTATTTTTTTAAAAGTCCTCACCATTGCTGGTTAAACTCGCTCCACTGGCTTATCACATTGAGCAATATTCCAAGGAGTCGCTTAGCGATAGAAAGATGAGTCGCCAGCATCATCCGGATTATAAATGCATCAATTTGTCATATTTACGAACACTAAAATATGAAAAACAAATTGCGTAAACAAGTTTCGTTTTGTGAATATTCGTTGAAAATTGTATGAAAATGGAAGTTAATTGCCAAAATATTTATATTTGTATATACGTATATTACCAATACCATTCATGTATTTTCTTTTGTTCGGAATTTATTTGATTATATTTTCTATCAGAATTCAATGCCGAGAAATGATAAGGGAAATTCTGAATAAACGATTATAAAGAAAGTATTTCATAAAAAAAGGCATATCGATGGCTTCACAAAATATCTGGTTAAACAATGACAATTTTTTCGACAAAAATAAAAAAATTTTCATTTTTACACGTAGTAAAAATTAATATAAAAGAAACATGATATAAAAATTCATGAAGAAAAATGCTCATCCTCGTCCTTATCAGTCTTATTATTATAGCTGCAGAAGAAGAAAGCTCGTCTGACAACGAGTCTCCAGCTGCAGTTGAAAACAATAACATCGATGAAGGCGTGAAAAAGAATGAAGGCCCAATTCCGCAAGAAGAAGTTATTTTCACCATCGCCCCTAAACCTTCTGATACTGGTAATGCGACTGAAAATTGCCAAAAGCATCGTGATAGTAAGGATTTTTTTTATCTATTTTAAATTAGTGAAAAATTAGTGAATTAGTGAAAAATTTTTGAAAAAGCCTTTCAAAAATTACGAAAATTGAATTGAATTATTATTATTCAATTTTAAATATTATATTTTAATATTTTTTCAGAGGTACCATGTTTGTGTGCAATGTTCAATACTTCATGCTCTTTGCCTCGAATAAAAGAACTGTGCCCCAAGACATGCCTCTGTAACAAAGTTTTGAATGCAGGTATTCATATCTTTTTTTTCTAGCGGTTTGCATCACTACTGGCTTCACTGACTATAAATATTTACAAGATGGTCGATTTGATGCCATGCGTGGGATTAATGGTTGCCACTCTAAGCGCATATATGGCCAGACTACCTGTAAATATGTGAAAATAATTTTGATCAAACTTCCAAGATCCATTAAAATTGTCGATGTAGTCAACTTTTTGGGTATCATTAACTTTTTATAATATCCGAGTTCTAAGTTCATTAAAAAATTCACGTTATTTTATATTACCTGGAACCTTGGACCTTTTAAGGAATACGGCTTGTAGGAACTCAAAATTTCCACTTGAACCAAGTACCATTATACCGAAAAATTTTGCTTGACGCGGTAGCACTATTTAACTTCGGATGCATTATTTGTGGATTTTTTCAAAGAAAAATTGAATACTAGGGAGAGATCTCTTCGATATACAGTTGGACAAATTTTGTAGAGTCATTCTGCTTACATGTACTTGTCAGACATATCAGAAATAGAATCATGGAATTCTTTTATGACTAGCCCAAATTGTTACTCTTGTATTTCTGGTGATTATTTTCAATTTGTCTTTGTTGCACCAATTTTTTGGAAGTTGTTCAATCCCAATCCGACATAAGCTTTTAAATTACGATTGCCTTTTAGTAGAGTCCTCATATATTTTGGTGTATATCGAGGGAATTCATCATGGCAAGCGATTACGACTCTTTCTATTGTCGTAATAATCCTATGTACGACAAAAATAAAAGATATCTCAGGAAAAAAAGAATGAGTTCTTGACTTTCAATCACTATCATGAGATATCTATTTGTCAAACTTTTCTTTTATTCTCAATTTGATTCTCATCGATGTAATATTTGAAAAAATAAGACAAAATTCAAGTCGAAATAATACAAAAGCAAAACACCACACCAATTTTTAGGGATTATTATAGAAGATAATAATTTTAGTACCAATGCAAATTCCGACGGAAGGTGCTTGCGAAGATCGCAGATCGGATTGTGAAGAGTTGGCAGCGAAAAATTGTTGCAATAAAGCAACAATGGAAGCACGTATGAAGGAACTGTGTCCAAAATCTTGTGGATCTTGCACGTAAAGACCGAAGGATAACAACAAATTGAAAATTTTTAAAATTTTTTTTAAAATTTTTAAAATTTCAAAAATTTTTTAGTAGTAATTTAATAGCAATGATATGCTAGCAATTATATTCGTTCATTATCACGCTCATCATTTTATAACATTTTGAAAATTCAATAAATGTTAGAGGGTAATTTATCTTGCAAAAAGAAAAAATCTTCATGAAAATTTAAAACATTTGAATAAATTACAAAATGGTTCCAACGGTTACAAGGGTAAGACGCTTTCAAGCAACACGGTCTGATGCCATCATCGACAGTAATAGAAGCCATTCTTTTTTCCATCGTCTAAATCCATATACTGCTGATCCATATGTTCAAAATCTTTACTGACCGTTGTATATCTCATATACCATCTAATATTCCTGAGAAGTGAAACTATGAAGAAATTTTAAATCAAACCCTTACACCGATCAAGTTTAACGCATATACTCGAACTCACTTACGGATATCGGCCATGAAATGCAGTAATATCACTCGAACGGTATGCATTGAAGCATTCCTTAGATTATCGTTATCAGTAGTTTCTGACCAAGCAACTACTTCTGTAACAACTTCACAATTTCGCAGAGCTTTAAATAATTAAAGGGAAATGAATGGAATAGCATTAAATCAAATTTCTCCAAACAAATGGATAACAAATAATGAACTGCAATATTCTTATGGATGGTTAGGAATCAAATGTCAATCAATCAATCAACATCAAGTTTTGTAATAATTCAAGGTGAAATGTTCTTATATGAAAGAAGAGGATTAATCTCTGATCTTAATGATGTAGAGAACTGTGCATTTCACAAATGAAAATACATAATAAGTTCTGATATAGTCCTATAGAATGAAGCAGACGCAATCAATCAGTGCTTATATCGGAAAAATGGAAGATTCGATGCTCAGAAATATGGAAACCATCTTATCAATTATAGCCAATTAATGAATTAATTATGATTATTCAGTTATTTACTATATTTTTCATATTATAGATGAACCGCAAATTTCATTTATATTCGATGAGGAAAATGGAACAATCACAACCAGAAATTGTGGATTTATTGATCCACATTTTATGAAAGAAGACATTTTTGTCTATATGGAGAATAGTAACACCGACAATGTAACCAAAAAACTGAAAAAAAAACCAAGGAATCAATTACTTGAGTAAGATGCTTTGCACGTCTTACTCTATAGTTTCTTTTATTATATATTCCAACTATAAGGAAAAAATTAAAAGGAAAATAGGAAAAAGTAAAATTAATGCAATTAAAATAAGGATTTTTGAGACACACTGAGCTTTAAGTTTGACGCAACAACAAAAGTTTTTTACTTTATCTTCGCCAAACATAAATCATCCGCAAAACAGAAAATGACAAACAACTGTTAACGGAAATTGAAAACTGAAAACTGTTGACGGAAAACTATGAATTTTCCGAAAAACAAAAATTATGTATTTTGATCGACCATAATCCAATCAAAGGAAATTCAAGGGAAATTTCACTAAGCTGATTAATTTCAAATGCACAGTTAAATCAATCCATAGCGAGATACATACCTGTTTCGACGGATCATCGTGCGCTGTTGTAATCAGTGCCTCAGTATTGCCTCTTTCTAATACCACTGATATATTATATGCTAAAAAATATATATATATTTTTTATAAATAAATCAGGATGGACAAGTGTTTTATACATTTTACTAAGGAAATCTTTTGATTTATTTCTAAAAGTTTTTAAGCGACGTCAACGTTAAAATTCTAAGGATTTTTTTAACAATAGTATTTTATAGGACGAAGCATAGTCTCTTGTCAATTAATAGACTAAGGTATGGAAAATTATTTATGGAGGTTGATACAGATTGATCAATAGAAATAAAACAGGTAGATTGGATCCTTCGTCATATTTGAGCCATAAAATTTTGTCTATTTCGTCATTTATTTAGCCATAATCATAGATTTTCGAAAGCAGTGGTTTCGCACATAGCACAACAGTTTTTATAGAACATTAATGCATTTCAACAAAGATGGAAGAAGCACAAAATTTCTTCATCAAGAGTCCTCGCTTTGGCTGGCTTGCTGCATTGATCAAATATTCTAAGGACTCAATAGATAGTCGATAAAAGATGTGACTCGCCAGGGTCACTCGATTTTTCCAACAAGTTTATCCCAAACGAGGAATAGAAATTCAGCATGGGCGCTCCAAATTGGTAACCACTAAGCCATTAGACCATCCAGAGTTCGAGTAAATTATTAGGGATAATGTGGAGAACATCAACCTAATTTATTTTATTTATTTATTGAAAACAAGCCAAGCAGAGCACACGGCCATGTGCTTGTATGTACCTATATTACAACAATTAATTTAGCAACTAATATGAATTAATGACAAAAACAAAAAAATAATAATAAAATAAAATTAACAATTTAAAGATGAAATAAAGAGGAAATTACAAAATAATTTAATAATATATAGCACAATTCGAAATAACTATAATCGAATGGTAAAAATCGAGATTTCACACTTTCTGCATGATGTGAATTTTTTGAACTTTTTAAATAACATAAATGTTATTATCTATTCTTTTTTAAAGATAGCTAGGGATGGCACAAGCTATATCGTTCGGTAGTTTATTTCAATAATTAATATTACGAAGAAGAAATTATGAGTCCTTAGTTCAGTTTTGTACATAGGTTTTAGTAATTTTCGCCCATTAATTCTTGTTGGATTTAAATTCTAAAATTATAGTATTTTAAACAATCTATAGTTTAATATAACATATAGTTTAAAATCCTATAAGTATAAATTAAATCTTGTTTAATATGACGAACTGGCAGAGAATCCAGATTATATTGTAGAAGTTTTCTTTTATAATTAAAATTGCAATTACAAGAGAGGCGTCGTATAAAATATTTTTGGAGTCCTTCAATTATTTCACTTGATTTACGATATCTCGGAGAGTAACATGAAGCATTGTAGTCAATAAGTGGCCGAATGAACGCTTTGTTCATTTTTGATAAGGAAATTTTTAGTTTTGTTCTTAAACGAAAAATGAAATTATCTTTGAGGATTTCTTTACCATGGTTCTGCAGTGAAGGTCGAAATCAAAATTTTCATTCATGTTTATTCCAAGATAGGAAGTATGTGAGATTATATTGCCATTAATAATAAAATTAGGAAAATCGAAACCTTTAGAATTGATGTGTAGAGCTCTACATTTTTGAAAGAAAAGGATAATTTGCCTGTCATATAGCCAGCTGGCTATTCTGTTAAGGGCCTCCTGCAGTGGAGATAGGCTATCTGATCTATCATGAGAATAATGAATTTTACAATTATCAGCATAAAGATAAATAGTAGAATTTAGTGCCACATTGGTGATATCATTTATATACAATAGAAATGGCGCAATGGCGCAATACCTTGAGTAACACCAGATTTAACAGGTTTTGTGTCAGAAAAAATGTTATTGACGAGTACGGCTTGGTGACGGTCTTTTATGTAATCTAACACCTAGTTATAAAGGACCTCTGTAACGCCATAACCATTAAGAGTAATCAGTAATTGATAAGTAATTTGCTATGGGAAACAGTATCAAAAGCTTTAGCCAAATCTAGGTACACAACTGATACTGTTTTACCATTGTCTGATTAACTGATGCAGACCAATCGAAAAGATTTGCCAATATTTGTGAATATTTGTGACAAGTTCAAGTTCAAGTCAAAACCTAAGATTTTTTGACGAAAAAAATTTATTTGAAATTATACGGCAAAAGCATGGTTGCAACAAGTTAAACAAAATTTTTTGCATACAGTTCAGTTTCTAATTTGCCAAATCGATTTTCATATGTCAATCGCAAGCGATAAGTATAAATCTATTTGGTGGATCATGTATTGCGAACATTGGCCATCAAAAATTTGTGGCACGCTTAAATTAACAAAAAGGCTTTTGAATAATTCACGCAGTTTGTTGCATACATTCGCAAAGTGTCAGATAGAAAAATTTTTAATAAATATTTTCTAGAATTTTAAAATTTCAAAATATAATAAATTAATTGTATAATAATATTCAATGATATTTAATGTGATACATGTTCCTTTTTTTTATGTGGTGAAAGGAATAATCAGTTTATCTTTCATTCTCACATTTTAATTTATAACTCCTATTTTATCACGTTAAACCAGCTTGCGAATACGAATTTAACCACACCATGACCTGAAATTATATGAGACAAATCGCTATTTTTCATAAAGCACAAGGATGAATGTTGAAAATGAATTTATAAATTTCACTTTGGAGATGGGAATTTCTAAGGTCCTCAGGCTATCCGAACCCTCAACTCCTTAACTCCTATTGCATTTCGTTTCGATTACCTTGTGGAAGTTAATTGCAAAATATGCAAAACCTATACATATTTTGAAATTAGCGAAATATGGCGAATTGTAGAAAGCAGCTTAGTAATTTCAATAACTTTGATTTTTTTATCCAACGTTTGACGTTCCATAGTGAAAATTTCCTACAAAAATAGTTTACTAAAATAATTCTGTCATAAAAAGAGAAGAAAAAGAGAGATTATTACCGGATTCCGGGTTAAACTTTACATTAAAAGGAGCCATGCGTTAGAACTTAGAATTATTCAAGAATTGCAACTTAATCTTATGGATTATTCAACATATAATATTTAATTAATATAATATAATATATTTGTAAATGCAATTGTTTTTTTATTGTAAAGAAAACTATCAAATTCCGAAAAGTTATCCAACTATCGCAAGAAAAAAAATCAAAAATGTGAAGCAAATCAAAATCAAAATTTATCTTTGTTAAATCTTTGTTAATCTACCATCATACGTCGAGATCCAATGGCAAGAATTGAAGAATTGAGATTTGTCAAGTAATGTGTGGAAAAACAAAAAAGAATGGAATAACTCAGTACTTCTTGCTAAATTCGGACCAACAAAGCTATGGTAAGAGTAAGCGTGCTCAAAAATCCAAGTGATGGTTTATCTATAGTTCTACCTTAAAGAGGCTCTTTGGTATATTTGTCTAATACGAAAAGCCAGAGAAGCAAGCAACTAGTAACGGTGTGCTATTAAAAAAAAAAATCTATCATCATGCAGAATCAGTTATTTTAAACTGTATTATAATTAAACGCTGTAAAGCAGGACAGTGCGACTCGCGTGCTACAGTTGCAATTTTGGTATGTATGATTCATTAATACTTGGAAAAAAGGTAAGAGTTGATAATTGTTTGTAGGTATAAGAAAGCGATAGATACGGATGGATTTCGTGATATATGGAATGAATGGACGACAATTAGGTTTCACTCAAAAATAAATTAAATTAAACAAAATAAATGTATTAAATAGAATAGATTTTGATATAGAATAGATTATTTTTTATTCATTTCAATTTTCCTTAGTACAGAGAATTGAATTTCGCCGTTTCGCTGCCCTAATCTGCGGTCGATGAAGCAGTATGAGTGAAAATGAAAGGAAGAATGTCTTAATAACAATGGTTTGGTAGACCAAGTAGAAAATTATTAGTTGAAATTTCTATTGATGGCACTATTATAAGATTAAGACAGTTTGCAAAGGTATAGGAGGTAAAGGTATAAGTAGAAGGTTTGCTTTTAAAAAAATAGAAATAGAATATTCTTACATAATAAAAAAAAAAGCCATAAAAATCGATTTGGTGCCGAGGATCTCCTTGTGATCCCTTGTGATAACGATTTATAACTTATAAATAACTTAAAGAGCTTTTCTTTGGGCAAATATTGTGAACACATAAGCAAATGAAGAAGTTAATGAGGAACTTTTAGTATAAAAAATTTTTTCAATGGGTATATGATAGCAATTCTATTGGAGAATTTCATTTTTTTCGGGAAGTTATTTATATTACTCTTTACATGGAAACTTTTTGATTCACCTCTAAATCTTGCTATATTCCTTTGACCACAAAACAAAACAATTTTTTCATTTCCAAAAATTTTTAAGTTCAGTTAATTTTTTAAATTTTTAATTTTTAAATTTTTGCAAAAATAATTAATATAATAATTAATTAATAATTAATTTTAGAAGCGAATTTGTTCCTGTCGACAGTTGACTCTTCACTTCACTGATGCTTATTTAGGATATACCTATCGATATTTGCAAGCATAACTGAGAAATAAAATA